TACCAATCTATTTACCTACCACCCGTTGATAGAGTCGTTCGAACAACATTGATGCGTAAAAACGTACTTGCAAATATACAGCCTTCGGCAACCGCCGGAAGTTGAGAAGGTCGTGTGTTGGTTTCCTAAGTTATTTTTAGACAATAAATATTGACATTGTAATAAATGCGTGCCGACTTCCGCAAACAGTGAAACAAAGAAATATACTACAGCGCCATCTAACGGAGACATACCAAACTACGGAGTCACTGCTAAGCCTGTATCTCGTAAGTAATTCTCACGCCTATTAGCATAAGTATATACAACTTCCCAATATCCTTCGTTGAGCCGCAGTCCACCAGGCATGATTACTTCGCCTGGCGGAGTGCGGCTCAACGATACGCTTCAAATACTCAAAAGTACTGCATCGATTGAGCTCAAATTTTGTCACGATATACAACACGCTTGAAAGATGGTTTTTATCTATTTTTTCAACCACAGTGTGGCACAGCGAAGCGTGGCAGGGTACTAGTATAACATAACGACGACTGGATGGCGTAGTGGTTTGTGTAACGGACTGCTATTCCAAAGGTCGTGGGTTCGATTCCCGCTCAAGTCAAACATTTGTGTGCATGAACATTTGATGTTTGATTCGGTCTGGGTGTTTCTATGTATAATATGTATGTATTTACAAAAAAAAAGTATATATGTGTTTATATCAGTTGTCTAGTACCCATAGTACAAGCTCTGCTTAGTTTGGGACTAGATGGCGTTGTGTGAATGTAGTAGAATATATTATATTATATTATTATATTATAAACCTTATGATTTTCTTTACTACCATAATAAAACGGAATAGTTTTTTGTTTCATTGTTAGATAGATATGAATTAGATTGAGTGTTTATTGAGGAATACTATGGGCTATATAACATCACGCTATGACTGAAAGGAGCGGAGCAATAAGTATAAACAAAGGTGAAACTGTGGGCAATAAATAATTAATCCTCGGACTTCTCGACAACAGTGAGAACCTGAACAGAATCTTAACCGAACCTCAAAACAACATACCTAAAACCTTCTAGGAAAATGTGTACTCAATATGCTTGTGTTTCCTGAGCAGCAGATATTCATGGGCAGCGGTGATCACTTTTTATCAGGTGACCCGTCTGCTCGTTTGTCCCGTATGTAATAAAAAGAAGAGTTATAGGGATGTATCCCATAGCTTTAAAAATAATGATTGCTTTTACCCCAAAATCTATTCATATAAATATGCATTATATTTCAGCTTGTCCGTGTGGTGACGGATTAAGACTACGCAATGTCACCACCCTATTCTTCCCGTGGGTGTCGTAACAGCCGACAAAGGTAGCAAACTACGCAGAACACAGCACTACAAAGAGAAGGAAATCTTGACATAAACCCTGTACCAACCCGTTTGGCCAGCGTGGTATAGTAAGCCAAAACCTCCTTTTTAAGGAGAGGTCTATGTCCAGCAGTGGACTATGAGACTGTTGATGACGATGATGATGATATTTCAGCTTCAGTTTTTGTCTCACCTTGATCTTACAATTAACTCCCATTTTTTCCATTCCTAATTCCGTGTGCCCAAGTTGACGGCAATAGGTTTCTTCCCTGTTACGAGAGAGGAATAAAATTATGCAGCAGCGATCTTTGGAGGTGGCCAGCAGGGCAACCGCAGGGGCCTCCCATGTAAAACAATGTTTATTTAGATTTCGCATCTTATGGCACTCGTTACTCGCGCTTGATTGACGTTTAGGGACTCTCCGTGTTTCATTCCGCCTGTCATTTAGACAGGCTTCCACTATTAACTGTAGTCGGCTTATGAGCCACACAAGACAACAATGTTCGAACAAGCAGTATGTATTGAATTGCATTATTTGTTTTAACTATCATCATTAAAACTAATTCTATAAAGATAAGGGCCTCGCAATGGCTAAGGCCACTACTGAAATTATGGTTAGCATAATACCTACTCTGGATTCAGTATCGTAACAAGCGCTTCAATGCGCCCCGTGCAAGGTTTTATAATTGTGCTCGATACAAAAAATATTGTCCGTGTGGTGACGGATTAAGAATACAAATTTTCACCACCCCAATTCATCCCGTGGGTGTCGTAAGAGCCGACTAAGGGAGCAAACTAAGCAGGACAACAGCACTGCAAAGAGAAGGAAAATTTGAAACAAACCCTATACCAACCCGTCTGGCCAGCACCACGCTGGCCAGACGGGTTGGTATAGGGTTTGTAGTATAGTAGGCCAAAACCTCCTTTCTAAGGAGAGGGCTATGTCCAGCAGTGGACTAGTATAGGCTGGTGATGATGATGACAAAAAATATATTTGAAAAAGTAAGATGCGTCTACATCCATTTTATTCTGGCTTGGTTATTTGTGTGCAACCCTAGGCTATGCGCCATCCACCTACAAAAAAATAATTGTGAAAGAAACAGTTTTGTCTTTGAGTCTTTAAACTAAATTGACTCGGAAAACATTTCAGCATTACATCATCCATTAATTACGTAGATTAATAGCTCATCCTACAGATTCTTCTGTGGCTCATCCCATGTTTATTTAACACGAGCGCCTACTATATTACATTGTAAGCACTATAGTAAGACCGTCATAATGCTAAGAAAATAATGACAGGCGCTACAAATCAAATAATGCACGGATGACGTAGTGGTTTAAGCTGTCGCCATGCCACTTACCACTACGCTGAGTGTTGTGGGTTCGATCCCCACATGGGATGACACTTTGTGTGATCTACAAATTGTTGTTCTGAGTCTGGGTATTCTTTGGGTCCGTTTCATATATGTTTGTAAAGTCCCCCGCGACACAGGATATATGCCGTGTTCTTTAAAAAAAAATTACATCCCTCCAAATCAGAATACATTTTAACAGGCTATTCCTGTTTCTTGTTACAATTACGACTGGACTATAAGTAAAAAACGAGTGAGGCATTCATTGGTCACATACTGTGTAACATCTGACATCTCACCTCCCATCTGAGGGCCTAGTATGAGTTTAAATTCACATCAAATCGACTGTCAGGGTGACTGCGATCGGCGTTCTTATTGGTCCGCACTCTCGAGTTTAAATGCGGAAATCGGAGCCAACAAGGAGCGAGTTCTCGGCTTCCAAATACAGACATTTGAACCTTTTGCGAAATCATCGCGGCTGTGTGGCGTGTCATTCATTATAATAGGGTAGATTCCTGTTTAACATAAATTATTTCGCCTGAATCATACAATGTAACATTCTAAAGTACAGTATAAATTGTCCTCGATTTTCAATTTAATGTTTTTATTTTTTTGATATTTTCAACTTGCCATTATATTAATGACTAGCTGACCAACGCTGACGTCAACGACTGACGCAACTTCATCTGCGTCTCTCAATAGTAATATCTCCGTTTTTGAAACATTCTTCATTCGTGCTCCGCTCCTATTGGATATATAGCCTATAGCCTTCCTCGATAAATGCGCTATCTAACACCGAAAGAATTTTTCAAATCGGACTAGTAGTTCCTGAAATTAGCGCGTTCAAACAAACAAACAAACAAACTCTTCAGCTTTATAACATTAGTATAGATTTGACTATAGTGAAGTATGATGTCACGATTTTTTTTATATGAAACGGGCAGACGGGTCACTTGATGGAAAGCGACTACCGCCGTCCTGCAACTCAGCAGTCACAAGCGCGTCAGCAGTCACATCCTTTGAGGCAGTACGCTCTTTTCTTGTAGGGTTTAAAGGTCGTATCGGTCCGGAAATACCGCAGCCAAAAACCAAGTATTTTATTGTGTTGTATTTTTGTATTTATTTTTGGACATAGTATTTCATACAAAAATGTACCGCGGGTATCGTTTTGAAGTTTGATAAAAAGATACTGCAGGCAAGTCACAAATGTTTGTCGGAACTCTTTCTCCAATCGCTGATTTGACTTGAAAGTCATCCACCCCATTCTCTTGTTAAATCGGAGCCATACAGAAAGCATTATGGTTGTGGATAAGGCCATTGAAGTGCTGTTTCAGTAACGCTAGGTAAACGTGTAAAATAACGGCAGGTAATCGCTTATCAGTAGGTGAATGTTGGTTTTAGGCGGTTCGATTCCGACATACCAATTAACCGCCAATCACCAATAATCATCAACAGCCCTTAATAGTCCACTGCTGGACATAGGCCTCTCCTAAGAAAATAGGTTTTCGCATACTAAATCAAGGTGGCCAGTTCATGTAGGAGTTTCTTCAATTTTTCCTTCTCTTTGCAATGCTGATGTCCTCCGTAGTTTGCTCCCTTAGTCGGCTTTTACGACACCCACGGGATGAACAGGGGAAGTGACACTCCGTATTCTTAATTCGTCACCACAAATTAATTAACTAGGTGATGGGTCGCATATTGTTAAGTTGATTAATTTACTAATTGGCGACCCATCACTGTGTGGTGACGGATTAATTAATTAGTACTAATTAATTCATTTCGACACGATAATACCAAGGACTATTAGTTTCCTTAAAAATCAGTTTTTTTATGCAGTTCTCATAAGAGATAACACTTACATTGTAAGTGGCATCACTTTTAGAATAAAATTCTATTCTCCCTTTCACAGACTCTTCCCTTGATTGGACAGGGTCACCGACTTCAGTCTGCCTGGGATTTAATTTCTCTAATCGATTTTTTTCCTTTGTAGGTTAGAAAGGACTGTTTTAAAAAAAAACATGAGCGTCTCGGGACGTTGAAGTTGAACTTTTTAATATTGAAATTGTTTAACTTGAGAAAAAATTAGGTTATTACTTAAATTTTATGTAAAGCGTCTGTCCGAAGTACGGCTAGCGCTGTAGGTTAGAGTGAGAGAGAAGGAACCTGTCTACCGCTGCCGTATGAGTGAGTAAAAGGGAAGCCAGACAAACTGGCGCCGTAACGCGTTACGTAACGAAGCGGTTTACCCTCCCATAAAAAGTTATCACTACAATAAATGCAACAAAAATAATGACAATTGTTTTTACTATCCTATAACATAAGAATACTTGGACACAATCTGTTTGTAGAATTGGAATACGAGGTCACTGGTGGAGCGGCAGCGTTCCATCGCTTCACTGTACGCGGAGTCACTGTAACTGCCGTCCGTGAAAGCTGTAATACACCAAAATAATATTAGCATTAAGAGACCAATTAAATTTCCAGCATCTCATAGCTTTTCTACATTTTTATAAAAGAACAGAAAAATTATGTACCTAATGTTCTTTTTTTCTGTCAATTTGCTCGACGACACCTTTTTGAGCTCATAGATTGAACGACAGTACAAAGCAGATAAACTAAATGGAATACAATAATGTATCGTATATATTAATATAGTACATAGCGGCTTTGAAATATTTATTAATGTATCGAGGTTACCCCAACCGAGTGCGTAAATATGTACCGCAGTGCGTACATATATCATTTTCTAAAATGTAATTTTGATATATAGCTCTTAAGTCGATTAGGGACGGAAGTATGTAACAGGAAGCCAAAAAGGGCGCATTATTTGATTAGAGCAGTGAGGCGCACGTAGCGCCAGAGTTGGCCATCAGATGGTGGGTCAGACGTCAGATATTACATATTATATGACTAAGACTCGCTAGTTTTTTTTTATTTACTAACCAGTAACTAAACTCTTATCCCGACTCTCAAACACAAATGTCATAGTTGCTCTCGATGTTTCGAGTTGCGCAGGCGCCGGGTCCAGTTGAATGTTCCCCTGCTCGTCTATAGCGCAGCTCACCGCCGCAAACGTGTGCCTCATGGCTAGACCAGCGTTTAATAAGGCTAGGCAGCAAGCATTGAGGCAGCAGGCTAAAAACTGTGAATTGAATATGATCATTGTGTGTAATTATCACCTTAAAGACAGCCTCCCACTAATAGATAAGATAGCACAAGGACATATCCCCTACTAATACTGGGATGGGTGTAGCTTGTTTATCTAGTAGATAATTAAATGATGAGTGTTTTTGGTGTGCTAATCTGAAAGACTGACTTGGTGGTGTAGAGGTAGCATATGCGACTGCTGTGCTCTCAAATCCTGGGTTTGATTCCCTGGGTTTGAAAATAGTCTCGAATATATCGCACACACACACACACCTTACACACCCAAACACACATACACTCACACATCAATAAAAGGCAGCTGTAAGGTTATAAAATATTCTGAGATACATACACAACCTAGTTCAGAAGATAGAGTTATTTTATAGTTATAAACACAACCACCAAATTAATTATGCGCTATTATAAATGCGCCACGTTATAAGTCTTAAAAAAAAGAATGAAGAATACCAATATAAAGTTTATGTATTTTTTACCCCACCCAATTCATCCCTTGGGTGTCGTAAGCGCCGACTAAGGGCGCAAAACAACGCAAGACACCACCACTGCAAAAAGAAAGAAAACTTGACACAAACCCTTTTTAACGTGTGGAAATCCCCTCGGACGGTTACCCCACCAGGGTTTGCGGCGGGGTGGTGTGTCGGACTCGGACCGACTAAAACCACACGGTGTGCCACTCTGCGCCTGTAACAGGAGGGATCCGGGAACAGCTGTTATTAAGACATCCGGACCCCTCCTAGCGCCAGCCCGCTCCTGGTGAGGGCTCGTCTCAAAATTTTTTTTTCCTCTCTTTGACACAAACCCTATACCAACCTGTCTGGCCAGCGTGGTATAGTAGGCCAAAACCTCCTTCCTGAGGAGAGGCCTATGTCCAGCAGTGGACTATTAAAGGCTCTTGATAATGATGAGTATTATTATTGTTTCTATACTATAAAAAGATGTCAATCAAAATCAGACAAGAATTAATATCAACTCACCCCACCATAATCTTCTAATTCCTGTATAGTAACTGTGATACCAGTGCGAGGGTATAAGCAACCCAAGATGGCTGATTCACATGTCTGTCTTATCACATGCTCTTTGTATCTGAAATTAATTATTAAGACTATTCTATAAATCAGTTGGAATAGAGAGAAAAGGAAATTGTGAAAAATGTGTCCATAAATAGAAATGGTATACCAATCTAATTCAAGACAAAGTTGTCTTAGACACAAAATAGATATTGAAATATCTAAGGAAGTATTTTTACGTTCTACAATAAAATAGTAAATAATCACCTATCTCCAATTGAAGGTTTTCCACCTTTGCTACTGAATAAGACCTCCAGTGTAGCTTTCCCTATGCTTTGACTTTGCATCTTTATGTCCAGCGGTCCATTCACACTCACTACAGCTACTGTTTGACCTGCAAAAGAACATCTAACAGTAACCAAACAGATAAACTCAATCACCAAATCATCAGCCTTTAATAGTCCACTGCTGGACATAGGCCTCCTTCGAAAAGAGGTTTTGGCCTACCATACCACCCTGGTAAAACGGGTTGGTATAGGGTTCGTTTCAAGTTTTTCTTATCTTTACAGTGCTGTTGTCTTGCGCGTATTTTGCTCAATTAGTCGTCTCTTACAACATCCACGGAATGAATAGGGGTGGTGAATAACTCATTAATTAAATGATATACATATTTCATCATTTAGAATACTTTGTTTCAATAAATTCAGTAGTAGCAGTACAATCTGCGATTCTAACCTTGCGACAAAATTGCCGATCCATCGGATCTATTGAGATAGTTACATTCGCATTTCATTGGCCTCAGCTTGAAGTCCTTCAATTCATCGTTATCAGTGATCATAGTGAGAAATTAATGTGTTTTTCTTAATTAGTTTTAGTATTTACATGCAAGTTTCAACTGCATGTTTTGAACAAGACGATTTGAAATGAATATGACACTGATGACAGCCTGATTTGAAAGTAGTTTATTCGTTCTGAAATAGCAACACATAAATTCTAAAATATCCAGTATAAAATGTAAATCAGTTGTAAGATAAAATATGAACTAAATCAATCAATCAATAGCCTATAATAGTCCACTGCTGGACATAGGCCTCTCCTTAGAAAGGAGGTTTTGGCCTACTATACCACGCTGGCCAGACGGGTTGGTATAGGGTTTGTTTCAAGTTTTCCTTCTCTTTACAGTGCTGTTGTCTTGTAGTTTGGTCACTCACGGATGAACGGGGGTGGTGACATTCCGTATTCTTAATCCGTCACCACACGGATAATGAACTAAATAATATCAACAAAATAACATCACTCACAACTTACATACTAATGTAAGTTGTGAGTGATGTTATTTTGTTAATATATAGAAGAATAACCTTCTAAATTCTAAAGTGACACACAGTGAACAACTGCAACTCCTTTCTAAGGAGACACCTATGTCTAGCAGTGGACTATTAATTAAAGGTTGTTGATACTACATCCAACAACAACATGAAGAAATGAAGTTAAAATTTACTTTTTGCAATTCGCATGTAAACATTTTTTAATTGTGTACGCGATGAGTTACGTATTGCTTTCATGCTAGTTAGAGGTTACTAAGAACTTGTCTCTTTTCTTTTCTCAACTCTCCATCGTTACCTGAATATCTCGTACCCCACTTCTGTTTCTTATGCTCCAATCACGACTGAAATATTCGGTCAACAAACAATATACTTCTTCTATGCCCCCCGTGAGGTAGAAGAAGGTGTGAACCTCCAACTTCATAAACTCCTCCTTCTACCTTCAGTCAGTTCTTCTCTGGAATGCGCTCCCTGCCAAAATCAGAATGTCCACAAACCGCCTTGCATTCAAGACAAAAGTGCGAGATCTTCTTAGGAGTGAATTGACATAACAGTCACATCGCTAGTACTCGACTGAGTATTATACATATTATATTAAATTTTGTATGTTTATGAATGTATGTTTATTTATACATATTGTGTATATCTCAGAACTTCAAATATGCTAAATTTAATATTTTATATTGCACCTACCACATCATATTCCTACATCACCTGAAGGTTGACTGGCAGAGTCTTTGTACAAAAAGTGCATTAAGTTTTAAATAAATAAATAAAATTGTACCTATTAAATATGGAATCATTTTTTTTAAACAACACATTATCTTACTTTAATTATTTATAAGTAAGGATAAGATGTTGAACGACAAAAAAGACAATTCAATCAATGTGTTCATAATTCGTTCTTGCTGCTCCATCTATATTAAAGTTCACGACGTTTGAAAGAAAGAGATACAAAGAAGTTGATGTTTAATAGCGGTGAAAATTTAACAAAAATGAAATGGAAACGTTGCCTGTTTCTCTGACATATGTTTTGTTCTGATCCTAATGTTATTTTACTTGCAGTATTGATTTTTGTTGGAAAATAATTCAATTATTGTGATAAAAGTACAAGGAAATATCAAAAATGAAGAATCGATTTAATACATATGATATTATGTGCATGATCACAGAACTGCAAAGGTGGGCACAGTAACATTTTTTATTTTACGTCAGTTAAATTTCCATGTTTTGATTAAATACGATAATTCTTAAGATATCAATCAATTAAAATATCTTCAAAAACGTGTCATTTAAATATATTTTTTCAACATCATCATCATCAGCCTATTTATATTATTATTAGCTTATTTGAGAAAATTAAAATATTAAGTTTTGATCTGTTGAAAACATTAATGATCGTTTTACTTAAATTAATTGCCAAATACCTAAACTGAAGACAATACCTATTCTTAAGTGATATGACTATCTTATGATCCGACACGACACTGACCATTTCAAATATCATTTATTTTTTAACTAATATTTCATCATCTGCAGTAAAAATATGACAAATTTGCAAAAATTTTTAGTTAGTACAGTCAAGACCAAAGATACCTTCCTTAAATAAATTATTTTATCTCTTATGTTGGTGTACTAATGTAACTATATGTACTAATATTATCAATATTGTCAAAAATATCTACACAAGTCAGGTTCCAAATTATTAATTTATATATTCTAGACTAAAACCTTCTCTCTAAGGAGAGGCCTATGTCCAGCAGTGGACTATTAAAGGCTGTTGATGTGTGATGTCATCATTGTTAAACTAGTCGATCATAGTTTTTATGAATATGTATTTAATATATCACTATAGCAAATCAATAAAAATATTTACTTGAATTGCCTGAATTTAGTTATTGTTAATTACTAAACTTGTAGAATTAACAAGTAAAATATTTTTTCTAAATAATTCATAAGAATTATTTTTTTGTGAATTGCAGGTAAAATATTTAAACTTTATTAGATGTATAAGCCCCATCAATTTTATTATATATTATTACTTAGTAGATAAATTAAACACACAATCTCTGACCTCTATGAGCACCAACCTAATAAAAGTATGACACATCACATATATGCGTCCAACAGGTTATGATTCTGCATCCCTACATGGCTTTGCTACATGAAACATATAAATTGTTGATATTTCATGTATTCTATTGAAATAAGTGGGAATAAATAATTTTCCTGTTACACATTAAACCACAAACATGCATAAATATTATATAAGTTATGAATAATAATAAGGGCAGTCATACACCAGTATCATATAAGTTCTATACTTTAAATAAATTTTGTCACATTAAGCGTTGGGAGAAAGCTGTAGCTGGCATGAGTCTGAACAAAATATACAGGGAATCTGTACACAATGCATGAGGATCAAGCCGATCTAAAATATTCTGGCATGTGTCTGTTCAAGTAGCTCTCTGTTGATCCGTTAGTCCCAAGAGCAAAGCTGGTAGGGGTTGGCCCTGCAAACAGATGAAAACAGTATTCAGGTTGCGACCGAACCTGTGCCTTATAAAGTTGTAGTAGGCTAGAGTGTAAAACTGTCTTGATATATTTATCACAGGAAGCTTCTTGGGGCTAATTTGACTTTCCTCTTGTGGAGAAACGGGTGTCATGTCACTCCAACACAAAGGGAAGATCCTAAGTCCAGGCGACGGTTTCATGCATGGCTGGCCGTAGCCCAATGGTTGATTTTGGGAAGTTGTATATATGCTAATCGGCGAGAGAATTATTCATTTCGCGATACAGGATTAGCGATTACTCCGTAGTTCGGTGTATTTTCGTTCCACTGTATATGGAAGTCGTCACACCCTCCAGCCTACAGTGCATCACACGGGAGCAGCCTGCAACTCGCGGCCGCATCAAGCACACAAGTGACACTATACTAGGAATCAACATGTCGAGATCTCCCATGAAGTTGCAGAATAATATCCCCTAGTGATACGGCTAAATTTTTACAGGCACATGGTAGATCCTACTTTCTCGTGAGGGATATACCTTACCTAAAATAATTGAAAATAGTGTAGCGCAATAGGTAATAAAATGAAAAATAAATATTTAGCCGATAAAATTTGCTCTAGTCCATTCGCGTTAAGAAGATAGTGACACAGCGACTGAAAGTTCCAATCTTTCGTACGAAACGATAATTTCTTGGAGCCTGATTGGTCAAGGGGCGGGACTTTATCGATGCGTCACTATTATCTTAGCGCGAACGAACTATACTTCAGTATCGCCTAGATAGAATAATTATTGTTCATGCACTAAACTTCGTCCACATTTTGTGTTAACCAGATTGATTGGTATGCGAGTAAACCAAGTGTATGACATAGACAACAAGACTTATGTGATTCGACTGCAACGGTCCGAGGAAAAGAGTGTGCTGCTTCTGGAGTCTGGCAACCGGTTTCACACCACACAATTTGAATGGCCCAAGAATTCTGCGCCCTCAGGGTTTACTATGAAGGTAATAAATATAGCATTTACTAATTGTATAATACTTTTTTGGTCACGAGATGGAAAATCTCGCATCTCCTGTTGCCTTCCGGGAGACGCCATCGCGGCGATGCAGGTGCCAGGAGTTTGGGTGTTTGGACTATTGTGTGTGTGTGTTGTTTGGATCCGGGTGGTGACGGGTTAAGAAAACGGAGTGTCACCACCCCTATTCATTCCGTGGTGTGTTTCGTAAGAACTGACTAAGCGAGCAAAGTACACAGGACAACGGCAATGCAAAGAAAAGGAAAACTTGACACAAACTCTATACTAACCTGTCTGACCAGCGTAGTATAGTAGGCCAAACCTCCTTTGTAAAGAGAAGCTTATGTCCAGCCAGTGGATTTCTAAAGGCTGTTGATGATCTAGTCTAAATCTATTAGTCATCAATGTACTAATGTAATAAATTCTATTGTTCTTTTAGCTCCGCAAACATCTCAAAAACAAGCGTTTAGAGAAACTGTCACAGCTGGGCATAGATCGTATTGTCGACCTGCAGTTTGGCAGCGGAGAGGCAGCATATCATGTTATACTGGAATTATATGACAGAGGAAACATTGTACTCACTGATTATGAGTGGACCATACTCAATGTGCTCCGACCGCATGTCGAAGGTGATAAAATAAGGTGAGATTTCCATCATCAGTCGGAACTGTTCTGTTCTACACCTTAAATTAGTCTAGTGGTAATAGTGGTCCTGGTTACTTAGCCAGCGTGTTTTCGATTCTCACCCACGACAAATTATTGTGTGATGAATGAAAATATATCTTACTTTGTAGGTTTGCAGTTAAAGAGAAATATCCTCTAGACCGAGCGAAAACCAGCTATCAGGCGCCATCGCCAGAAGAACTACAGAAAATACTAACGAACTGCAAACCTGGAGACAACCTCAAGAAAATATTGAATCCGAATTTAGGTAACATTTCAATTAATTCTTGTTTTTTTTTTAATACAAGGGGCAAACGAGCAGACGGGTCACCTGATGGAAAGCGACTACCGCCGCCCATGAAAGCCTGATACTCAGGAATTATAAGCGCGTTACCAGCCTTTTAAGAAGGTGTACACTCTTTTCATGAATGTTTGAAATACCGCAGGCGACAATTTGTTCCACAGATTCTTTTTGCCATCTTAGTCTCTGCCCAATAGAGCTGATGATTCATATAAAATAAAGTATTTAAATAAAGAGATGCTCTCACTTTGTACGAAATTATTATAACTAGCAGAACTTGAAACTATAGTGGTGCCGAGCCTCGGTGTTCATAGTATCCTTCGCGACTTTCATAAGGATTCTGAACTTAATGGTGCTGTACTTAGTAGCGTACTCCACTGCCACATGGTTACTGTGATATCGTCACAGCCCGGCTATTGCTTTTGAAAACTTCTATCTAAAGTAACTCCTGTTCTTTTCAGAATATGGTGCAGCAATTATTGACCACGTCCTATTAGAAAATGGTCTGGCCGGCAACATGAAGGTAAATAAAGAAGCTGGTAAAGGCTTCCAGGTGGAGCAGGATCTTGAGAAGTTGGTGAAGGCACTGCAGCAGGCGGAACAGTTGCTAGATACTGCTAAAAGTGTGATTGCCAAGGTATGTGAATAATCAAACAGACAATTGAATAGTTACTTATCACTCTCAGTAATTTCTTTGAGTAGGATTTAAAGAAATAGATGTCTTCTTAGGAGAATTCAAATATATTACCTATAGTTTTGATACGGTTCGGCGTTGTCAGGACAATTACGTACTGACCAATAGGTTGCAAGCTTTTTTTCGAAACTTTAATTTCTTGGAACCTGATCGGTCAGGGGGCGGGGCTTGATCGATGCGTCACTATTTTTTTAACGCGAATGAGCTATACTTTGCTCAGCTCAGCTTGGAGTAGCATAAGAATACATTAAATGTGTCTTTTTTTATTTTTATCTTTATAAGAGAATTTAAAGTTCTAAAATTATTAAAATTATTTTTTCTACGCTAGGGTTACATTATCCAGAAGAAAGAAGAGCGGCCTAACCCCTCCGGTCAAGAGAGCGAATACCTCTTCACCAACATTGAGTTCCATCCACAAATCTTTGCTCAGCACCAGAGTCTGCCACATGCAGAATACGAGACCTTCGATAGAGCCGTGGACGAGTTCTTCTCCACTCTTGAAGGCCAAAAGATAGATTTAAAGGTAAGAATAAATTATCTTTTAATCAGCTATTTCTAAGTCCATTATTTATTTCTGCATATCAGTTATTCCATATTTAGAAGTCTAAATCGAGTCTTGATAGACATAATATTTTTATTTAAATTAATGTTGCCATTCCTTTACAAATATTGCATCCTCCTTGTAGGAACCTGGTCCCAACTTGAGTTTATTCTGTTTTTTTAGTTTTGACTTGCACGGATGGGAGGAAGGAGGATGTATCGGCGAAATGTGACAAGTAGTGGGAGAAACGAAACTCAGGACTCAATAACTGTAAACTGATCGTTTTTTGTTTTAATATTTTTTTCAAATATTTAATGTTGATGAAACTCCATGAAACTCCTGTGACGTTTTTTATAGATAGCCCCTAATAAAGAATTCAATATTTTAAGACCACTCCAATTTGCCCCTTAAACACCACAGACAGTGCAAATAGAACGCGAAGCTATGAAGAAACTCCAGAACGTTCGCAATGACCACGAGAAACGAGTCACAGAACTGGTACAAGTACAGGCCGTGGACAAGCACGCCGCTGAGCTCATCTCCAGGAATGAAACCCTCGTTGAGCAGGCCAGGGTGGCAGTGCAAACGGCTATTGCTAACCAGGTGAGTGTAAAGATAGAAAGAGCGATAGATTGGAGTGAGAAAAAATATGTTTATAGAAAAAGTTACAATTAATTCGGACAATAGATTCTCCTGTCATCTGTTATGGACTCTGGATAGCCAATTAAGAATTTGTATTTTAGTACAGTCAATTATGGTCAACGTAAAACATATATAGTGCGATTCAGAGATATTTAAAATCCATTTCTTCATCTATATGTATATAAGAGATTTCCACGTATATAGTATTTAAGAGATTTCCACGTATATAGTCACTCATCACGATATCTCTGGAACCATTAGAGATAAAGACTTGAAATTTGGTAGGAATATTCTTTTCACCGAGTAGAGGTCAGCGAAGAACGGATTTTAAGAAATTCAAAACAAAAAAATATTTAAATAATGTAAATGGCAAAACAAAGTTTGCAGGGTCAGCTAGTTTATATATATATGTGTATATATATATATATATACATATATATATGTAGTAATTATGTGTACCCACACAAAAATTAACTTTCATTTCTTACTTACTCTTACTTTCATTACTTTTATTTCCAGCAATGGACTGTTAAAGGCTATTGATGACACAAAAATTATCGTACACAAAGATAATCATGTATTTATTATTAACACGTCGTCGCTAAAAGAAGGGGTGCTATTTAAATTTGTCTCTCTCTCTCTCTGTGTGTGTGTGTGTGTGTGTGTGTGTGTGTCGATACAGCTAAACGTATAGAGCGATTTTGATTTTATTTTTCTTTTTGTTTAAAAGGAATTCAGCCTTTTAACGATCCTTTCTAAGGAGAGGCCTATGTCCAGCAGTGGACTAGTATAGGCTGTTGATGAACGATCGAAACGATTTATAACCATTCTAGGGATTGTCGAGTTAAGTTTTTTTTTTTTATTTATACTTGACTCGACTTTCGGTTTTTAAAATCTAAGCAATCAAATTAGTGAGCATTGTCAGAGCCAGTACAGTATGAAAACATTTAAAAATTTCCTCTGTCCTCCAGATGGGATGGGAGGACATAAAACTCCTCGTAAAATCAGCTCAAGACAACAACGATCCTATCGCCAGCTGTATAAAAGAGCTGAAGCTGAAAACCAATCACATCACACTGGAGCTCTCGGACCCTTACGACGAGGAGCTGGAGCCGTTGTGTGTGGATATCGACCTCTCGCTCACCGCCTTCGCTAATGCCAGGAGGTAAGTTGGAGACACACACACACTAACATACAGAAAACACACACATACGTGCACGTACATGGTGCATGCATAGGTGCGGTTTTGACTTTTTTGTGTAAATTATTTTTGGTACTGTTTTTTTTATTAGATCAGATATAATGAGGGTTTTCTGAAATGTTCCACGTGAGATGGCAGCACTGTAGCGTCAGGTCCAACCATCTGTCAAAACACATACACGATTTGTATTTTTCGATTATTTTTTTTGGTTTATTCATTTTTAAAAACGTTACAAAAGGAATATTGTTTTCTAAAATGCCACAGTGTTGTGCAGTGCCTGTATGCAAATAAAACTTTTGCGCCTCTCTTTTTGAGCTCAATCTTCAGTTCGCGCGACCTTTCTCTGGCCGTAATCCATAATAAACTCAATAACACTTCCAAATTCATAGCATTTCACTAAAAAATTATACGTTCGGTAAGAATCTGTGCTATCTGACAGCTGTTTGGACCTGACGCATACGAAGCGCCGTTTGGTGGCTGAAAAAGTATCGAAAACCCTCAGATCAGTTTACCCCTACACCACAAATAGATATAGTATAGAAGCATACTAGCCTTTGCCGCGCCTCCGCCCGCGTGTATGACGCTGATAATGTAGCTTTCATTACGTGAAAAAAAATTGAAATCGTTTTAGTGGTTTAGGTGTGAAGGCATAACAAACTCACTTTCACATTTATAATTTACTAGCTGAGACCCGCGGTGTTACCCGCGTTTGTTGTTATAACCGCGGGCAACGCCGCGGGGCGAAACTAGTCTAAAAAAGTAGCCCAAGTTACTCCTTATGGCATCAGCTATCTGCCAGTGAAAGTCCCGTCGAAATCGGTCCAGCCGTTCCAGAGATTACCCGGAACAAACAGACAGACAGACAGACAAATATGCATTTAGTAAAAAGCGCTTATTTTAATATTACAAACAGACACTCCAATTTTATTTATTTGTATAGATAAGTATGGATGTGTGGCGATTTCCACATACAATGAAAAAAGAAACATACAGCGTCATCTAACGAAGACACACTGAACTACGTAGTAACTGCTAATCCTTTATCACAATATGAATATTTCTCACGCTAATTAGCATTTTTTTTATGGTATAAGGGGGCAAACAAGCAGACGCGTCACCTGATGGTAAGCAACTACCGCCGCCCATAGACACCAGCAACTCAAAAGTCACAAGGGGGATTTGGGCTCCGGTAACCTCACTCACTCAGTGAAAGGCAACGAAAGAATTGCTTAACACCGGTTTTCTGTGAGGCCGTGGTATCACTCCGGTCGAGCCGGCCCATTCGTGCCGAAGCATGGCTCTCCCACGGTATATATACAAGATCCCAACGTCAACAGTTGTGCCGTCCCTCGCCTGGTCGGAGGAACCTTCCCTTGTCTCAGAGGGACATGACACCCGTTCCTCCACTATATGATCCGACGAAGATGGTTTTGACGTCACACATACGAGTTTCGACAACGTGTCGTTTTAATGTTTAATATAGAGAAATTTACCTCGTGAATAGAATTGTGGGTTCGATTCCCACCCAGGTAAAAATACTGTGTGATGAGCACGATCATTTGTTCTGTGTCTAGGTGTAATTTATTTATACTAAGTATGTATATATTTATCTATACAAATAAATAAAATTGGAGTGTCTGCAATATTAAAATAACCGCTTTTTAATAAATGCATATGTATGTTTACACGGTACATATGCCAAAATAACATTTATAACAAATTTTTGTCTGTCTGTCTGTTTGTTCCGGGTAATCTCTGGAACGGCTTGACCGATTTCGACGGAACTTTCACTGACAGATAGCTGATGACATAAGGAGTAACTTTTTTTAGACTAGCTTCGCCCCGCGGCGTTGCTCGCGGTTATAACAACAAACGCGGGTAACACCGCGGGTCTCAGCTAGTAAATAAATAAGAATGTTTGTCAGCAGTCTGGTTACCATAGTACCAGCTCTGCCTAGTTTGGTATCACATGGACGTGTGTGAGATGTGTGAAGTTATTAATGTTATTACTTACTAGTCATAATCGACTGCACGGATGGCGTAGTGGTTTAAGCGGTCGCCACGCCGTTTCCTACTACGCCGAGTGTTGTGGGTTCGATCCCCACATGGGAGTACACTTTGTGTGATCCACAAATTGTTGTCCTGAGTCTGGGTGTGCCCGTTTCATGTATGTTTGTGACAGGAAAAAAAAAACTCGTGTTATCACACATCCCACATCAACAGCCTTTAATAGTACTGCTGGACATAGGCCTACTATACCACGCTGATCAGACAGGGTGGTATAGGGTTTGTTTAAAGTTTTCCTTCTCTTTGAGATGGTGTTGTCCTGCGGGATGAATAGGGGTGGTGATACTCTGTATTCTTAATCCGTCACCACACGTCTCGTGTTATGTTCTATAGATACTATGACCAGAAGCGGAATGCGGCTAAGAAACAGCAGAAGACACTAGAGTCGGCCGGTAAAGCGCTGAAGAGTGCTGAACGCAAGACAAAACAGACGTTGAAGGAAGCTCACACCGTGAGCAACATCATCAAAGCGCGCAAGACCTACTGGTTCGAGAAGTTCTTCTGGTTTATATCTTCTGATAATTACCTGGTTAGTACAACTTTAATTTTATTTTTGCTGCTATTACGTTATTTAATACCCATAATAGGCCATATAATACCTATAATATTATTGCACAGATAATCGCCGGTCGTGACCAGCAACAGAACGAGTTGTTAGTGAAGAGGTACCTTCGCGCCACAGACCTGTACGTGCACGCCGAGCTGTCCGGCGCCTCCTCCGTCATCATCAAGAACCCTGGAGGGGGAGAAGTGCCTCCCAAGACGCTCGCTGAGGCTGGACAGGCAGCCGTTGCCTACAGGTAGTTCCTGGCACTCTTTAAACAAACTAATAGAGACCCCTGATCACATCTGCTGCCGTTTGTGTCAGGCGCTATATTACGAAGGAGACGGCGGAGCGGGACCGGAAGAGGTTTAAAACTCTCCCGGCCCGCCAGGCCCGGGAACGGGCCAGGTACCGCAGGCGACTCAGGCGCCGGAGGTCGCAGACCGCCGTCCTCCAAAAGCGCAGGCCTGGGGGTGACAGGTGAGGCCATCTGTCACCCTAGCAGAAGCAGGCCGGGGTGGCGGCTAGCGCGTTGCGAAGCGCGCTCGCTTCCAGGGAGCAGAGGGAACATGGGGTTCCCACACGGGGGGGGGGGGGGGGTCGTCTACTCGTCTGTAGATGGCCCGAGGTATGTCGGGGCACCAGGGACTTCCTTTCTGGGGTATACCTGCTTCCCCGGCTATTAGTACCCGAGACGGCGTGCGGTTTTAGTCCGACATGCCACCGACAGGTGGTATCTGAGGGGATTTCCGCACGGAAAAAAAAAGAAAAAAAAAGGCGTTATATTACACAAACATCAACGTATAGCGTTTAGTGACCCTGACTGCTAAGCCGGAGGTCGTGGGTTCGATTCCTACCCAGGGCAAAAATAGTGTGATCAGCAAGATCATTTGTTCAGTGTCTTAGTGTTATCTATCTAAAATATGTATGTATTAACAGATATTTAAGTGTGTTTATCAGTAGTCTGTCTAGTTTGGGATCAGACCGCCCTGTGTGAGATGTTTCAAATTATTATTATTAGTTATTGGACGCTTTACTTTTCCTTTCTATCTTGCTTGTGTATGTGGCTGCGAAAACTGATCCTGAGTGTCGCTTTAATCGATGACTGAGGACCCCTGTTGGTCTAAGAATAGAGTAGGTACATCTCTATCTAGTACAACACATACAAATACGTTTACATTAACTGTAGTTTATTAGGTAGACGTCTCATATACACAATAATGTCAGAAGGTCAACTCACGTAACGAAAATTTGTTTAAAATTCGGTTCCGATCTACCCTTAAACGTCTTACATTGACTGTAATGTGATTATATCGTATACTAGCTGAGACCCGCGGTGTTACCCGCGTTTGTTGTTACAACCGCGGGCAACGCCGCGGGGCGAAGCTAGTCTAAAAAAAGTAGCCTAAGTCACTCCTTATCTCATCAGCTATCTGCCAGTGAAAGTCCCTTCGAAATCGGTCCAGCCGTTCCAGAGATTACCCGGAACAAACAGACAGACAGACAAAAATTGTAAAAAATGTTATTTTGGCATATGTACCGTGTAAACATACATATGTATTTAGTAAAAAGCGGTTATTTTAATATTACAAACAGATACTCCAATTTTATTTATTTGTAAATAGATACGGACAATAACATACGATCTTTTAAACATTACCTTGTGTGAAACTAAAAATAGTAGCAAAGAATAAACACGAAAGGAAATTTGATTGAATTGGAATTGGAAATTGGATTGAGATTCTCCACCGTTTTTTTCTTTTTTTGAAAAGACAACTCCCGCACTAGGAATATATCCTGTATCGCAGTGGACTTTACAATCACCAGGGACTTCCTTTCTAGGGTATACCTGGTTCCCCGGCTATTAGTACCCGAGACGGCGTGCGGTTTTAGTCGGTTCGAGTCCGACATGCCACCGATAGGGATTGCCGCACGGAAAAAAAAGGGGACTTTACAAACATAAATGAAATGGCACAAATAACACCCAGATTCAGAACAACAATTTGTGAATCACACAAAGTGTTGTCCCATGTGGGGATCGAACCCACAACACTCAGCGCAGTAGGAAGCGGCGAGGTATTTTGCTAGTATTAATACTTTACCACTAGATTACCTTTTAAGAAATTTAAGAGTTCAAGAATAGATCGAAACTGAATTTTGTCTTATTATTATTATTATTAATTGACCGTCAGATAAATTATATTGTCAATTTTATTCTGTATCCAGCGTGGCGTGGGAAGCCAAGGTGTTGACCCGCGCGTGGTGGGTGCACGCCCACCAGGTGTCCAAGTCCGCCCCCACGGGGGAGTACCTCACCACCGGTTCCTTCATGATTCGGGGGAAGAAGAACTACCTGCTGCCTGAACACCTGCAGTTTGGTTTCAGCTTTATGTTCAGGGTATGTATAACTGAAAGAAATTAATAGTCCACTACTGGTCATAAGCCTCTCCTTAGAAAGCAGGTTTTGGCCTACTATACCACGCTGACCAGATGGGTTGGTATAGGGTTTCTGTCAAAGAGGCGGCGCGCCTGGCCACAAGGGGAGTCTCCCTGGTGGTCGGGCGCATTGAGGCGCTGGGCTTACGGGTGGCCCTAGATAAGACGGAGGCCCTGTTATTTCATGGGCCCCGTCGTGGTCCACCCCCTGGCGCCTCAATCGTGGTCAACTCGGTCCTCGTACCGGTTCGGGCCAGATGAAATATCTGGGCCTGATCCTCGACGGGAGGTGGCTCTTCGACGAGCACTTCCGACAGCTTGCTCCAAAGCTGGTCGGCGCTGCGTCTGCCCTAGGGCGACTTTTGCCCAATTTGGGTGGACCCAGCGTCGCGACAAGACGGCTGTACACGGGGGTTGTCCGGTCAATGGCACTATACGGTGCACCGGTGTGGGCGGCGGCTCTGACCGCCCAGAATAGGGCACGCCTCTGGCGCCCTCAGAGGGTAATGGCGGTCAGAGCCATACGCGGTTACCGCACCGTGTCGACGGAGGTGGCATGCGCGTTGGCCGGAACTCCCCCGTGTGGTTTAGAGGCTCGCCGAAGTTTATCGGCGAGTGGCTGACTCCCGGGCGGAGAGCGGATTTCGCCCTCCGCCCACGATGGCTCGCCGAGCCACGATGGCTCGTTGGTCGTTCCGGCTGGAGACTCCACGCGCTGGCTTCGCCGCCGTGGAGGCTCTCCAGCCGGTCATCGCCGAGTGGGCAGGGCGGCAGCACGGGACGGCACGGTTGCTTCGGAAAGTACCTGCACTCGGTCGCTGGGAGGGAACTGAGTCCTGCCTGCCGCCACTGCGACCGCAGTGAGGACTCGGCCCTGCACACGCTGGCGGTCTGCCCCGCATGGGAGACGCAGCGCCGGGCCCTCACTGCAGTCATCGGAGTGGATCTCTCGCTACCGGCCGTAGTACGCTCCATGGCCGGTAGCGACAGTTGTTTTACCGCGGTCGCAACCTTCTGCGAGGAAGTAATCTCGCAGAAGGAGGCGGCGGAGAAGGCCCGGGAGGACGACCTCCACTCGGACCCGATCCGCCGCCGGCGAACCGGGCGGCGGAGGCGCGCCTGTCACCGCCTCATGCCGCCCTGAGTGTGGCCGCGGGTGGACGGGGTGGGTTTCCCCTCCACCCGCATTAGTTTGGCCAGCCGCGAGGGGGCGGCGTCCGCGTGTGCCGGACGTCGCCTAAAGAGAGGAAAATTTTGAGACGGAGCCCGCACCAGGAGCGGGCAGGCGCTAGGAGGGGTCCGGATGTCTTAATAACAGCTGTCCCCGGATCCCTCCTATTACAGGCGCTGAGTGGCACACCGTGTGGTTTTAGTCGGTCCGAGTCCGACACACCACCCCGCCGCAAACCCCGGTGGGGTGACGGTCCGAGGGGATTTCCACACGGTAAAAAAAAAAAAAAAAGTGTTTCTGTCAAGTTTTCTTTCTCTTTGCAGTACTGTTGTCCTGAATAGTTTGCTCCCTTAGTCGGCTCTTACGATACCCACCGGATGAATAGGGGTGGTGACACTCCGTATTCTTAAACCGTTTTCTACAAAAGGCGACATCTGCCCTTTATTCATGTTTCCTTGTCCTAAGTGGCTTCACATCATAAAGAAATGTCATCTTATAGAATACCGACGTTAAAACAAATCTCGTACTAAAACCCGAAGAATAATAATGGCACGAACACATGTACACTCGAGTGATTAAATATTAGAGTTAATGTAATTATCTTGTTTCCATATTATGGTTAAAAAATGCACTCTTTGCCTTTAAAAAGATCGTAGGTATAATAATAGTCAGCCCCAAAAGTAGATCCACATCCAAACTTTCAAAACTTATTCACTGTGGAGGTACGGGTTTATGTCCCTCCAACACAAAGGGAGGATCCTCCGACCAGGCGAGGTGCTTATGCCTGGTAGGCCACGACCCAACGGTTGATGTTGGGCAGTTGTATATATGCTAATCGACGAGAGAATTCTTCATATCGCGATACAGGATTAGCAATTCTCATTGAGTAGTTACTCCGTAGTTCGTTATGTCTTCGTTAGATGGCGCTATAGTATGTTTCTGTTACTTTGTATGTATTTTAATATATATATTTATAACTTTTATTATATTTTTGTAATAAATATAATAAAAGTTGAAATTCACGGAAACATCACACAAGTACTACATTAAAAGAAGTAACTCGTCGTGTAGTTGAATCTTGGAATAATTTTTGTAATCTACTTTTGGAGCTGACTGTACCTCTGTTTGTATGCCATGGCCTGCTCATAATATACGCTATCACACCCGCAGCTAGAAGACAGCTGTATCGAACGTCACAAAGGCGAGAGGAAATCAGTCGCTCTCGAAGACAGGTCTGACGTCACATCCTTACAAGATCAGGAGGAAGTAGAAATCGTTGTATCTGATGATGGTAAGTGACTCCTACAAACTTTAAGGCAGAAAAATCATTTTTTTCCAGCTAACACAAACTTCTTAAAAACTCTTTTCTCAGACGAAGATGAAAAACCAGACGAGACGAAACTAGACGTTATTACGGAGGAGAATACGACAGCAATAGAAGATTCAGGAGAAGACTTAGGAGAGGAGAAGAAGACGGAAGAAGAGAATGAGAAGACAGAAGACGAGAATGAGAAGACAGAAAAAGAGAATCAGAATGACAAAGATGAGGATGATTCGGCGAGCGAAAATGAGTCGTCGGAAGATGACTTACCTGATACACATATAAAGGTAAAAATAATGTAAAACATAATATTTTTAAAGGCATTTATTTACAGTAAAATAGTCAATTCTCGTATCGGGAATCGTACCCGGCACTATACTCAGACTTCTGGGATATTCTGCTAACTGAGCTATTAGAACATGGCTAAGACAAAAGGCTTTTCTTTATAACCGACTTCAAAAGACGGTTCATAATTAGTTGTTTTTATGTTTGTTACCTCACAACTCCGTCACTTATGAATCGTTTTAAAAACATTATTTTTTTAGTTGAAAGTTTATATTTTAGTGTAAGTTAATTTAAAAAAGAATAGAGAATGCTAGTCACATCACACATTACCAATACTCTTGGGAGTACCCGTGGACCCGTGGAGGGGTTGTACCTCGATGTAGCCTCTTCCTTTATCCCGTCTGAAAACTTCCCCAAGGAGATGTCTTCATGCTGGCGTTAGGCCATTAAAGTTACCAGCCAAAAAGCCTTATGTAATGGTACACATTGCTTTAAATCGATAAAAATTTAGGAAATTTTCAATAAAACGATATGGCTTTTATGAAGCTCCTTTTATTTCCGACGCACAAACTTCTCTTTTTATGCCGCTTCTCCTTTTATTCTGTCTCCCCTTTTACGCTCCTTCTCCTTTTATTCTCTTTCTCCGTTCACTCTTCTTCTAATTCTCTCTTTCTCATTTTCCTCCCCTTCTTATTTCTGAAGAGAACAAAAGAAAGTTAAGAAAGTTCTGGTGAGACGTGGATATTTACGTCTTCTAATATTTAACAGGTAGATCACGGCACGGGACATGTTACCTTGCAGAACCAGATATCTAGAACTATATCGGAGATTTCAGACAAAAGTGAGTAAAATACACATATTAATACTTTTTTTAATAGCTTCACTTATAACATAAACGTGGGGGGGGCCACAAATATGGTGACACACACCACCTCATAGCTGACGATGGGGATATATTTTATTGTGCTCTGAGTGAATTCACAATCTTAGCACTTGGTATTGTTACTTTAGTTTATAATTCAGACATGATGTAACTACAATATTGCATTGGAATTAGTCTGTAAGGATGCTTTAGGAAATAATGAATAAATATGGGCTGGGGGTCGACCGAAGTCAAACCACGGCCTCACAGAAAAGTTATGCAAATCTTTCGTTGAATTTCATCGAAGTCTGGCTACCAGAGGTCTGACTAACCCTAACTATTATTATTATTGTAATTTTTTTTATTTATCTTGTGTTCTATTACCATTCGATTTCGAATGACTGCACGGATGGCGTAGTTGTTTAAGCGGTCGCCACGCCGCTTCCTACTACCCCAAGTGCTGTAGGTTCAAACCCCACATAGGACATCACTATGTGTGATCCAAAAATTGTTGTTCTGAGTCTGGGTGTTCCTTGTGTCCGCTTCCTGTATGTTTGTAAAGTCCCCCGCGACACAAGATATTTTCCTAATGCGGGACTTGTCCTTTAAAAAACATTAAAATAAAAAAAAAAACAAAATAAATAAAAAAAAATCTAGTGACCTTACTTTTTAGGGGAAATAAGTTTCCAAAGTCTTCTCCTCTCTCTATTATCTCAAAACAACGCAGTACACCAGCACTGCAAAAAGAAGGAAAACTTGACACAAACCCTTTACCAACCCGTCTGGCCAGCGTGGTATAGTAGGCCAAAACCTCCTTTCTAAAGAGAGGCCTATGTCCAGCAGTGGACTATTAAAGGCTGTTGATGATGTTTGTTACCGTTTCACGCAACGACGGCTGAACTAAACTGGATGAAAATTGGCACAGAGATAGATCATAGTCTGGAATAGTACATAGGTTACTTTTTATCCCGAAAAAATGTAGTATTCATGTGGAATGAGCAAGGTACAGAAACAACCGCGGGTAACACCGCGTGGCTCAGCTAGTAAAACAAATAATGAAGTATAAAAACAGTAAATTCCATACTTATCATATAAACGTTTTTTTTTTATATTTCTACAGATGAAGAACAACTCCCATCCTTTCCGTCGTTACCAAAGAAGGGCGGCAAGAAACCTCAGAAGGAGACCAACGTTCAGAAGACTAAAGAAGAGAAGAGTGACGACAAGAAATTAAAGCGAGGTCAGAAGGGAAAGCTAAAAAAGATGAAGAAGTACAAAGATCAGGATGACGAAGACAGGGCTTTGATGATGCAGCTTCTGCAGGTATTTTTATATTTTGTAGCATTGGATTGCAACTTAGGGGTCTCAGGTTGATTCCTGTTTAGTGCATTGTGTATATTATTTAAATAATGTTTTTGTATATGTCGAATATGTCGGAAAAAAAGCAAGTTATTAATAACAATAAAAAAACACTGGTTGATTATCTTTCTGCAGGCGCCAACACCTGGAAGAGAAAAGAAAAAGGCGCAGAAGAAGGCCGCTGCACCTCAGAAGAGTAAGGGCGGTAAGGGTACTCCGAAGATACCCCAACCTGCCCCACTCATACTGGAGGCGGAGTCTGACGCCGAGGAGCCAGAACCAGACGCAGAGGTCAGGATACTCCACTATCTCATTAATATAGTTTGTTTTTATTCGATGGGAGTCAATAGTGATTACCGTACATGTAGCGGGATTCTCATAGACCCAGAAATATCTAATTTTCTCACCAAATTAATGAAAAAATGAAAATCGTTAATTTAATAGTTACAAAAAATAATTATAAATTTTTGAGATATTCTAACCTGTGCAAAGTACAAAAAACGCCATTTTTGCCAATTTTTGAGGTAATGTAACTCTTCAAATTTTATTATGCCTAAAAAAGTACACAAGGTATCTTAAAGTTTAAGTCTTCAGCTTTCAAATGACGATGAGTTTGCTTAAATATCTTTTTTTTTGTTGGCCTGTGTTATCAATAGTCTGGTTAAAACATAGTGTACAGACTATGCTTAGTTTGGGATCAGACCATAGCGATAATATAAGAATAGAGAACGCCAATCCCACCTAACCCAGTGCTTTGAGGTGTCCCACGGTACGAGAGCAATCGCTGCATGCAGAGGCCATTCTCTATCTCTCTCTCACTGCATGTTCAAACCTTCAAGAAAAGAGCGTACTCCTTCCTCCTGAGTGCCAGACCTTCATGGGGATGGTGGGAATTAAAAAAGAGATAGAGAAGACCTCTGCGTGCAACTATCTCTCTCGCTCCGTGGGACACAGTGAGGCTTCCCTTGCGTGCTCTATTCTTATATTATCTCTATCTTATATGGATCAGACTCCCGAGTGTGAGATGTGTAAAGATATTTTCAATATACTTCCTTTTTTATAGTGTAGGTAGCAAACAGACAGTGAGCTGATGGTAAGTGACTACCGCCGCCTCTGTACACCTGCAATTTAAGAGACTTAACGTTGTCGCCCTTTGAGAGCATTCAAACCTCTCCCCCCCCAATTAGAAAGGTTTGGGGTTCCGTTAACTTCACTCACTCAGTGAAATACAACGGAAGAATTGCTTAACACCAGTTTTCTGTAATGCCGTGGTATCACCACTCCGGTCGAGTTGGCACTAATATTTTTGGACATTTAACACACAACGCCATCTAGTTTCAAACTAAGCAGAGCTTGTACTATGAAAACTAGATTGACTGATAGAATACTTATATACTTTTTATTTGTAAATACGTACATAATATACACAGAAAACACCGAAACAAATATTTGCAGATCATACAAAAATTTGGTCCTACCTGAGAATCGAACCCGAGACCTCACCGCAGCAGTCGCATACGCTACCACTGCACCATCGAGGCAGTCAATATGTGACAGAACATGTCTCTCCTATAGTTAAAACTGACAATTATTTACCTATATATATTAATCTGTTACTTGTTTATCTTACACAGGCTGATCAGACGGGTCCAGACGCGGACGCAGAGATGCTGTGCCAGCTCACAGGCTGCCCCTTTGCCGAAGATGAACTACTGTTCGCTGTGCCTATCGTGGCTCCCTACTCCGCCTTGCATAATTACAAGTGAGTTTGCTATACACATTCTTTTTTTATGGTGTAGGGGTCAAACGAGCAGACAGGTCTCCTGATGGTAATTGATTATGATATACATCACAAGAGTTGCCTCCCTCCGATCCCCCCAACAATCTTCCCCCCCCCCCCCCCCCAATAGTAATTTACACAGAAACGACTACTGCCATTGTCTGTCAGTCAGCCATTGCCCCAGAATCGGGGATGATGTGGGGAAGGCTCGAAGACCAACTATGCTGGTCAATTGTCTCGTGTCCCAAATGTCTGTCGAGTTATCTCAAACTAATTATTTATTAATTTCACAGTTAATTTGGAAAAAAAAATTTGCGTATAATAGTAAGTATATTTTTCCATCATCAACAGCCTCTGGTAGTCCACTGCTGGATATAAGCCTCTTCTTAGAAAGAAGGTTTTGGCCTACTATACCATGCTGGCCAGACGAGTTGGTATAAGGTTTGTTTCAAGTTTTCCTTCTCTCTGCAGTGATGTTGTCCTGCGTAGTTTGATGCCTGACTCGACACTTAGGACACCCACGGGATGAATAGGGGTGGTAAAAAAAAAGGGGGTGGTGACACTCCGTATTCTTAATCTGTCACTACACGGAAATAGATTGAGATTGATATGAGGACTATTTAACTTGACGCTACGACCCTTAGAAGCACAGCTGTGTACACAAACCTTTCTGTAACTGGTATAACTAGTAACTAGCTGTCTTATTTCAGATATAAAGTCAAACTCACACCCGGCGGCAGTAAAAGAGGCAAAGCAGCTAAAACAGCCGTGCAAGTGTTCCTGCGAGACAAGGCCTGCTCTGGGCGCGAGAAGGACCTTCTCAAGGCGGTCAAAGAAGAGAACATCGCTAGAAACTTCCCTGGAAAAGTCAAGTTATCTGCCCCACAGCTGCACAAGCATAAGAAATAATATTTTAATAATAATAATATTTTCACACACATCTCACACATGGCGGTCTGATCCCAAACTAGGCAGAGCCTGTACTATGGTAACCAGACTGCTGATAAACATACTTATATATTATTAAATACATACATATTATAGATAAAGTACACCCAGACACAGAACAAATGACCGTGCTCATCACACAATTATTTGTCCTGGGTGGGAATCGAACCCACGACCTCTGGCGTAGCAGGCAGGGTCACTAACCACTAGACCAACAGGCCCATCAAATGAAAGACATAAGTGTTTATTATCAGATGTAGAGATAAGGCGGTAGGCTGGTGGCGTTTATATCAAAAAGACGTAAACGCCACCGGATATAACGAAGGATATGCTCATAAACTCTAACCAATCACTAAAAATCAAATTTCTTTTAAGTCCTTCAGTCCTTCAGTCCTTCAGTCCTTTAGTCCTTTAGTCCTTCAGTCCTTTAGTCCTTCAGTCCTTTAGTCCTTTTAAGTCCTACAGTCAAAAAAGCGGCCTAGCATTCTGCCGTTTTTTATATAAAAAGTTGTTAACACACAAACGGCTAATTTTAACTATTTAATAGGAAATCATGAAGTAAAAATGTTACTTGTTTACTGTTGTCAATCTAGTTGGGTATATTAAAAATATATAAAATTGCAGTGGCTTATTATTTTATTTTTTAAATGAATTAAAAGTAACCCGTTTTCTTCCAATAATCCTTTCGTCCTTTTTCATCCAGTAAGTGAGCCTACCGGAAGAACTATCCCCCCTCCACCCTTCTTTCCTTAATTCTGGGAGAGGGACCCCCAAAAGGTGAGGGTGACTGTTAAATTGAAGGCGTAGATGTGCGGCGGTAGTAACTTACCCTCACCAAAGGCCAACCCAAACCCTATATTGCACTCACATAGTTCTCTTTAACACTATACACGGACTTGGAAAAAAAAGACACCTCTGCTTTGTTTTTGCCCAGAGTGAGTCTCAAGGAAATGCCGGCGCCTTCAAGCTATAAAGTCCGACTTGTTAATTTATTTGACCAAATTAAAGTTACGCTCTTTTCTGGCGTTTTACTTACCTATTTATATATCGCTAGCAATAATTTTGGAATCTTATTATTTTCTAGAAAACGATTTTTTGGGCATAACGGCTTTTTAAGTTTTCTATGAGATCGTTATATCACTGGTAGAGCCTCTCCCACGATTCACTTCGACAATTCTGTTTTTAACCCCCGACGGAAAACGAGGGATGTTATAAGTTTAACCTGTGTATCTCTCTGTGGCATCATAGCTACCGAACGGATGGACCAATTTCGATGCGTATTTTATTGTTCGGAAGCCGATGTGAAACACTTCACTTCCTAGGTGATGAAGGGATCTCACTATGATCTGAAATTTGGTATACTGTTACTTTTATAGTGTTTCCACTACATGGTAACCTGGAACTTGTTGCTGCATCAAGTAGTCTGCGGGATACTCAGCTCCTCAGAAAATTACAGCACAGAACTCTTAGGTTTTTTGTTTTTTTTAAGTTTATTTTTGTGTCGGGGGTTTTTTAATGATACTATTATTGAGGTATAAACCTTAACTTAGTAAGTTTGTAATATCAAACGAACCAGTTTAAACATTTTTAGTCTGTCTGACAATATTTTACTGCCAGCTGTCTATATTAGAAGTAATGTAGGCTATTTTTCCTCTCAAAAAACCCTATAAAATTTTGCCCGGTCTGAGAAGCGAAATCGAGGCCTCATGGACTGCATACTACACCACTAAGGCTTTGCAAATTCCACGCGAACGAAGTCGAGGGTACCAGCAAGTCGTACATAAACTCTGCAAGACCCAGACAACATTTTTTTAAGCAATTGGCCACTGGGAGAAATCGCAAATTAAATTAATTCTCTACAGCTTTTATACAAAGAGCGCCAAAATTAAAACACAATTTTTACAGTAAATATTACAATATAATTGTTTCATAATTATCATAACAAGAAGACAGGTTTTATCTACGCAAACTTATAAACTTAGAGCAACCTTTATCATAATTCTTGAATATTAACGAATCCATTACAAGAACCACAAAAGCTGCTGCATAAACCACACGTTTCTAAGCTCACATGTTCCTAGAGAACAACATCAAAAATCCCATTAATCTTGGAGTTGGTCTTATACCATCTCGTTAATAGAATAAGCAATTAAAATAAGCAGTTTATTCGTCCTCCACTTCGCCTTCTTCGCCGAAGTCTTCACCTTCGCCTGGAAGCTCCGGCGGTGGTGGGGGCGGTAAGTGGGCGATACGGTATGCCTGAAACAGCAAACAACGTTAGCCAGGCACTCAATCCTAATTAGTCAAAGAAATTCCGTAAGTGTTGGGATTAACAAGACAACAAGGAAGATCTTAACAAGTCTAGACTTGTTCCTTATCTCCTTCCCGCCAAAAAAATCATGGCCCTTTGCCAGAAAATTGTGTGTTTCTCCTTGGATTGATAAAAGGAAAATGGGGAATCAATTTCTGTCGTTTGTGAGTTTTTCTTTACGATGTTAGGATAGGCGAGCAGGGTCATCTGATGGAAAGTTACTACTGTCGCCCATGGACAAAAATCTGTAAAGTTTGAGTATGCTTCTTGAAATATAATATGTTTAACTCCACGCAAATGGCAAATTACATGGCATACAAACAAACATAAATAATAGGTACTCATTTGAGTTTAAATTAGCACGCCAATGTACACCATGTCTGCACAGACTAAGGCCAAATGAGGTATCGATCCGGCAACTCTGGTACACACACACTGGTATAGTTTAATTCCTGTGAATACATGACCAGTCCTGTTGGTGCTGTAATTAGTGGAGCCTAATTAACTCTAGTTTTGGCCTTACCTCTTCATCAGCAAATGTTGGATCAGCCATTTCCATGACCTCGGGTCCAATGGGATATTCGTCTTGGGGCTTTGGCAATTGCAGCGGGGAGAAGTTGGGAGGCTGGAACTTCAATCCCCAGCCGACATACATGCACTCTGATCTCCTGGAAACATTTAATCACCGAAATGTAGATAAGGACTAGTCCTTAAGACCATGGAAATATTCAGTACCATATAATATCATATGAGGTCCATCGTGGCACAGATGACAACAGAACGTTTTCATTAACACACCTTTGCCTGCATATTAATACCTTTACTCGTTCACACACGACTGTCTGATACAAAACTAGGTAGAGGCTGACTGCTGATTTTCATACTTATATATTTCCAAAAACATACACATTATAGAAAAATTACACCCAGGCACGACTTCAGACTTAGGTCGCCACTAGACCAATAGGCCCATCACGACGACTGTTGCTACTACAAAAGCATCGCCTAAAAGGTTTACCCAGCACCAGCTCATGAGACAAGCAGGCTCCATATACTTCCTTGATGTCATATGTACTCACGCTCTGCCTTACTTACTTGCCAGTGGCATACGCCACAGCGCCAGGCCAGATATTACTCCTGATTGTTACAACTGCTCTCTCTGGGACAAGAATAGAACTGATGCGCGTACTCCACGGCTTAAGCCCCTCGATCCTGGCATCCTCGGCCAGTGTCGTGAAGAGTGGGGGTCCTATCTCTGGTGGCACGGGAGGGGGACCTTCAACTTCGTCCTCTTCCTCTAAACCTTCTTCCTATAAGTGATAATAATATAATAAAGTATTCTGTGAATTCTTAAATTAGGTACGCTATCAAGACCCGAAGAACCTAAGAATAGCTGATACTATGTGCTTATTTATACAAAGGGACACAAACAGGATATACTTTTTTTGAAGTCTTTTAGAAGTAGCACATGTAAAAGCCAACTTTAGCACTACTCATACTATTTGGTCAAATCAAATGGCGCACGCCTCCCTAACTTCCTGTTACATACTTCCGTCCCATTTCATAAAATCACTCCGTAGATTGCAAGAAAGGGTTAAAAAATCAAACCCGAAGCTCTGACGGTACAGTCAGAAGTTCGGGTTTGACCAACTTAACCTATGGCTTACTCTCCTCAATCAATCTTTATAAGTATAATCCCTCTTCTACCATCGCTTACCTTTTTCCCCCTTTGATTTCAATATACGCCCAATTTCCGGATCCCATCTCTAGTGCCCTTTGACGTTGACGGACCTCTATTCATCACATCAACAGCCTTTAATAGTCCACTGCTGGACATAGGCCTCTCCTTAGAAAGAACGTTTAGTATAGGGTTTGTTTTAAGTTTTCCTTCTCTGCAGTGCTGTTGTCTTGCGAAGTTTGCTCCCTTAGTCGGCCCCTACGACACCCACGGGATGAATAGGGGTGGTGACACTCTGTATTCTTATCCGTCACCACAACTGTTAGTGGAACTAAAATTATGGCTGGCAAAATGTTGGTGTGTAATACGCCTCTGTACCCCTACCCGAATCAATATTCAGAGACATACATACACCAATTGTATGTATGTCTCTCATCATGTATGAAGCATAACTAACTGACTAACTCAGCATTTCTGAGTAACATATCATTTAATAATATAGCCAAGATGTAACAGAGACACAACATACCATCTCAGCATTCGGGTTCCACCAAATAGTCCTGCCTTGTTTTAGGATGTATCTGCCATGATGTACCCAATACGTCAGGTTGGAGTCCAGAAGATCCTTCAGAGAATGACCGTGGTAGAACGGGTTCAAATTGAACGCCATGTCACCTATAAAAATCAAATAATATGGCACTCATGAAATTAGGTGTAGATAATAATAACCTCGCACATCGCACTAGGCAGAGCCTGTGCTATGGTAATCGGACTGCTGATGATGAATGATGGTCTCAAAACACTGTCAGTATTCGTTAAGACGTCCCTTACACCATGTATTTTTCCAAATACATACATATTTTAAATAAATAACACCCAGGCACAGAATAAATTGTCGTACTTGTGGCGACTCCCACGTACAAAGAAACAGAAACATACGAGTACTACAGCGTCATCTAACGAAGACACACTGAACTACGGAGTAAGTTCTTAATGAGAATAGCTAATCCTGTGTCGCGATCCCACCAGGCATGATCACCTCACCTGATCGGAGGATCCTCCCTTTGTGTTGGAGCAACACGACACCCGTTCCTCCACATACTCGTCACACAATAATCGAACTCTGGCTTAGAAAAAGACTATTTAGAAAATCGTTAGCATTCATCACTTTGCTTGATAAATACACACTCAACAGAAGAGAGAGAGAGAGAGAGAGAGAAGAAACTATCTCTTCTGTATAAGAAGAAACTCATATCAGAAGAGTAACTCACCAGCGCCTTCCTCCATATCTAGATCCTCTTCCTCCTCCCCGGAACCGAAGGTGTAAAACCCTTGAGGAGACACCGACGTAGCAGCAGCGATGCGACATATCTGCGCGTGTAAGTAGTGGCGCTCTGTACCTTCGAACGGAGGAAATGTCACCACCTGCATAAGATAAAGTTAATTAAAGATAATACCAATCAGATAACCACACGACCGGCCTGAAGACCATTAATTTGAGCAATAAACCCAAGGAAAGCGATCACCGCAGTACCTAATTAAATACTGTGTTGCAATGGTAAAAAAATACTTATCGATGATTGTTTTTTTTTGGAAACCATCGCCGCTCGTGAAGGTCTGCAACTCAGGAGTCACAAACGCGTTGCCGGCCTTTTAGGAAGGAGTACGCTCCTTTCTTGAAAGTTTGAATATAACATTCCAGTGCATGGCTTAAATAAACGTCAAATCTCACACAAAGCGACTCCCAACCGTGTGGAATGTGATATGAAACATGACTTTAAACCTAGTATCACTCTTTTCACATTGACATAATTAATTTACAATATTATTAAACTTAGAACTGTTATCAATTATCATTTAACGTTAATTTGCATACGCAGGTATTCCAAAGCACAATACAAGCCAGTAATAATGCGGTAGTAAGGTAGAGATCCCAATAGAGTCTGTTCACCTCAGCATCCAAGTCACCAGTCATACATCGCACCGTGTGTCTGGCAACTCGTATATGATCCGGCGTCAGGTCCGGCAAGCAGATCCAGTCTTCTCCGGGATTATTGCATACATAGTACACCTGCGTTACACATGTAGCCATTAAGATAAAATTGAGAATAGAAACAGCGTGTGTGATCAGGTTACTTAATATAAAATGTAAAATAAAATACCTTCCTATTAACGCCCTGGCCAGGTCTTTCGACAGGTATGGGAGCTGGTGGTGTCCACGTGATTGTCGGCTCTGGAGGCATCTTCGGACGGACTGGTTCCTTCGACACAGGTTCGCGAGCCTCTCCTTCCGCTGCTAAAAACAATGACATCTGCCACTTAAGAGACGCAAGTGCGTAGCGGTGCGTACTCCCAGAATTAGAGGGGTTTGGCTTCCGGTAACTTCATTTATTCGGTGAAAACAATGAATGAATAACTTAACACTGGTTTTCTGTGAGGCCGTTGTATCTCTCCAACCCATAATGTGCACGATAGAAACTTAGACAAAAATATGGTTAAAATAAAAAAAAGTGTTTGCACGTGAAATAAACCTACCCATTTCAGCTTCTTCTTCACTGTGATGGCTTTCTCCCTCCCCTTCTCCCTCTCCAGGCATGTCCTTCAATTCGAATTCCTAGAAAAATATTAAAATCTACTTCACAAGAATCTTAAGGTTTTATAACTGGACAAGCAATTAAGTTTTAACTTAATTTTGTGAATTGGACTTGAGATAATCTAACCACGTCACAGAATCATAATCGGAAAATGAGAAATAAATCTAAACTGTACGTACTCTGATTCTTCTATCAAGTTCTTCTATAGTGAGATCAGTTTCAGCGACATAGTAATTAGCTTTTGTGCCAAAAATCTTTCCAAAGAACCTGCAGAAACAAAGTATTATAAATAGAAAACCTGAGAATATATAGCTTAATATCCTACTTTGGAGCAACGAATGTCTTGTCCACGCAATACAAAGGGTGGATCTTCCGAACTGCTACCAGCTCAAACGTTGATGTTAGGAATTTGTATATAATGCTATTCAGCGTGAGAAGTTTTCATATCGCGTTACAGGATTAGCCGTAAGTCGGTGTGTCTTCACTAGATGGCGCTGGAGTATGTTTTTGTTTCTCTGTATGTAGTTGCCCATTATAACATTGGAATAGTTAGCACGCTGATATGATTTAGATGTAGTTACGAATGTTGTTGACCCTAGTTAGACCAGGCGCGCACTACAAGGTTTTCGCATCACAAATACGAGTATGTCGATGCTGCTGTGATTGATATGAAATGTACCGTAAAATCTTTAGAATGATATTATACTGCAGAAGCTTTTTGTAATGTGTCTATAAAATTAGAAATATCAGCAAACTTTAATATCCGTGTCCGTGTGGTGATGGATTAAGAATACAGACTGTTACCACCCCTATTCATCCCGTGAGTGTCGTAAGAGCCGACTAAGGGAGCAAACTACGCAGGACAACACCATTGCAGAGAGAAGGAAAACTTGACACAAACCCTATACCAACCCGTCTGGCCAGCGTGGTATAGTAGGCCAAAACCTCTTTTCTAAGGAGAGGCCTCTCCTGTAAAATAATATACGTTACGTTACGTTTTAGTAGCCAAAGCTAAAACACAGCTTTGTTTACAAGTTTAAGGGTACACCGTTCTCGAAAATTGGAAAGAAGAGCACTTCAAGGTACCTTATGGTAGCCACCGGTTCTTTAATGCCGAGCATGATGAGAGAAATGTATATTGCGTAGCATTCGTTGTCCGGAAGACCATAACCGCCCTGAAAGGATACAGCAAGAAGACACATAATTAACTAAAGTTAATGTCTGTATTAAGAGTCAAATCTTTATCGTAAGTTTAAAAATCAAGCCCAAAAGTCTTCAATACTAAATACCAGGTCTTTACATTTCAGTTGAGTTGAACACTGCTACTTTGAGTTTACCCTACTTTATGACTTTTTCTATTATTGGTATACTCAAAAGCTTTCCATATTATTCCTGAAGTACCCGGTTAAAGGTAATGGGGTTGCTCCCTACTACGACTGATTAAAATGATAGTCTGTAAGATAAGTACGTTTGATACTCACGAAGCCGGTGCTTCACCCTGGTGGAGAACCTGAGTGAACCACGGAGGCCTATGAAGTCTCAAACCTAGGAGGACCTTGGTGAAGCACGGATTCGGCTTCACATTCACGTCTTTTTAATGTCGATGTTTGAATTTATATGTACCTCACACGTTGGAACCTAAATGGTTGCAAACATTCTGGTATGGGACTGTGAAAGGTTCCTGCCGAGGTTTCCTCGAGAGACTGTAGTATGGAGTTCTTTAAGAAAGGAATTACAAAAAAGTCAAGCCTGGATTTGCAAACCGTCCATGGGACGCGAAAACTAACAACTATCAGACAAAGGTTCATACAGTGTGGTTTAAAAACGCAAAACATAAGTAGGAAAACAAAATACTTATGAATTCAATGACCTCCTTAAAATAATGGTTGTTCTCCAGAAGATCTGTGATCCTCGGCTTAAAGTTGTCCTCCTCCAAATCAAGCTCCTGTTCCTCCTCACCAATATCCCCTAACTTTTCGGCTTTACTGGCTACCAGCTGAAGTTTTGAATGCATGATTAATGAAGAAAATATACACAGCATGAATACACAACTATTATAATTATCACTATACTAAATTCTTAATCATTACTAAGATTGTAAATGAATGCGTATATTGTAGGCTTCATGGGCTGCGGTAGTAGTAGTTGTAAGTGTTTATAATAATCAGTTACAACCAGGCGGACTACGTACTACATGCAAAAGAAAAAGAAAAGAAAGAAAGATTGTAAAAAGTCATTTTTAAGGTAAGTTGCCTCTTCACATCAACATCATCACATCAACAGCCTATAATAGTCCACTGTAGGGTTTGTGTCAAGTTTTCCTTCTCTTTGCAATGCTGTTGTCCTGCGTAGTTTGCCCTTAGTCGGTTCTTACGACACCCACGGGATGAATAGAGGTGGTGACATTAAGTATTCTTAATCCGTCTAGAGATCTAGAGACAGTTTTAAGCTACATTTCCGCAGAATTAGGGTCTGAGAAAGTACATAAGTACAGTACAGTACATCCGCCTTGGAGAAAACCGTAGCAAGTAAGAGTGTTGTATAATTTGCACCTAGGTGTACTGACGAGGCTCTAAAGAGGAATGTCTTCTTCTTACGATACCACCACGCTTTTACAATTACCACTTAAGTGGCTACATCGTTTAACATCGATGGGCATCGGTAACTATAACGATTTCATCGGATCGGATCATAATCTTATTACATCTGATTTGACTGCACGGATGGCGTAGTGGTTAAAGCGGTCGACACGCCGCTCACTACTACGCTGAGTGTTGTGGGTCCGATCCCCACATGGGACGACACTTTGTGTTATCCACAAATTGTTGTTCTGAGTCTGGGTGTTCTTTGTGTCCGTTTCATGTATGTTTGTAAAGTCCCCCGCTACACAGGGAATATATACCTAATGCGGGAGTTGTCTTTAAAAAAAACAAAAACAAACAAGAAAACATCGGTTAGTAACTAAGCAGTGTGTACAGCATACAGACAATGAGATCTGCATATATCACTATAGATCGGCAGCTATAGAGTTGACCGCTTCCAGAGAGTTAAATCGTTCAGGTCCTAACTAGAGCGCTTGAAGCCAAAACTAGCTTAAAGACAGGTTGGCTCTACAATCTTAATATATATAAATCTCCTGTCACGATGTTTGTCCGCGATGGACTCCTAAACTACTTAACCGATTTTAAATTAAATTGGCACACCGTGAGCAGTCTGGTCCAACTTAAGAGATAGGGTAGCTTAGATCTTTAATTATAGTCGCAATTTTATTTTATTGTAAATTATTGGTCTATAATTAATTGACAGTCACAATTATCTGTTAACTGCAAAATATTCTAACAGATGTCGATACTTTTCGACTGGATTGAGTAAGTAATCAATAGATGGCACTGCTATGGTAAACCGACAAACGTGTCATATAAGCTACAATTCAATGTCAAACGCGGGTAACACCGCGGGTCTCAGCTAGTTGGATTATAATTTATCGCATACAGCCAATATTGAGCTGTCTTAAAAACAAGTTGTAGGAAAAACAGGTACCCTGAACATTTGGTCCATACTCCTAGTGAGACTCATCTGGGGTGGAGACATGTATAAATCATTGAGAAGGTCAAAGTTGGGCTTGAACTTGTCTTGTTTCACCTCCCAGGAGTATTGCTCGAAGTTGTCTACTACATCTGGTGGCTTCTGGGATAATAACTTCTGGACGATGTCCACTAAGTGATCGTATCTGTTGAGGGGATAAAAGTCAACCATTATATCTTTCCCTACAACTAATTAGTTCATTCCTAAAATAATACTGCACTCAATTCATCTAAGACCGCACCAATACGCGTAGCTATGGTTTGGTATATATGGAAAACTAGAAGTTTCTGGAAATTTTTCAGTCACCCTTTGAACTCATTCCCTCCGTCGCTGCCTTAGGTTATGTAGCATTCCATTGTGACTCTGTTTGTCTTTTTAAAACATTCCAAGCATAAAACGCTGGTGTCTTTGCATGTATGGCCTGCTAGCGTTCTTGTCCCATACTTCTACTTACATAGCCAATGTTCCTCAATATTTCAATGGCATAGTAACAAACTCTGTACCACTAAAACTTTAATCTCAATAACAGTAGTTAATGTTATCTCCAGTTTTTATTAATTTCCTAACGGACAAGAGAGCAAATTTGGGCACCTTAACATCCTGTTTCTATTGACAATTCATAGATGCTGCCAACTGGACATGGACTGCAACGGCCAACATTGAGTTTATTGAATTTCTTACGTACGCAGGTTGGTTGTTGCAAGAGAGAAATTTTGGGAAACTTTGATATTGTGGTTAAAAGATTCAAAAGAATTTTGTTGTGCAAATAGAAGTAGGGTGTAATGGTTACATATTTCGTGGTATATTTACTAGATACTAGGGTGGAAAATTCATAGCATTGTTGTCCATACTATTGCGGCCATGTTGTAAACCAAATTACTTTACATTGGTATAAAAAAATAAGTATTAAAACTACTAATTATTACTATTTAGTTATAAGGGTCGACTAAAGTAACTGCTTCTTACACGGAGTCGCCAGTTGCTGCGCTTTGTTGTTTCAAATAGTTCTTTGCTAAAACCAAGTCGGTATTAAGATCTGGCATAACATTTTCGGTCGCCGCTATTATATCCGGCTCTAATAGAAATGTTTGCGACATTTTGAGGCTCTAAATCATCTAATCTAACAGGTAAATAAAATTAAATATAACGTAAATAAGCAATAGCTGTTTTTAGTAATGTAGTCCAATTCACGTGGATTGACAAATCATTGACACTAGATTATACTTTTAGCTAGTGTTTGTAAACTATTTGGTTCTGTCTATAGTGTTTGACGGGCAGAAGTTAGTCTGTCTATAAATGCGTTGCTTTCTAATTTGGCAATAGTAAAAAAGATAATTACCCGCCTTTTCTTACATGGTCACGTTTCCACTAGTGTCACGGGTCACGGCATGTATGTATTCTATACAATTATTCAGCGAGACTGTTTAAATAAAAATACAACAGGTGAGTCACCTTATGGAAAGTCTATTTTATATCTTATATTCGTTATTCTGGAGGTGTAAGGAGGGGTCATAAAAGGTGGCTACTCATTTGTGACTTTTGCGCTGCATGTATCCATTAGCGGCGGTAGTCACTTACCATAAGGTGAGATATCTGCTCGTTTTCTCCTTTAAATCATATAAAATCTTGTTTTTGATTTGAGTTGAAAAAGATTCATTTGCTGTTGCTCTATCATTTACTAAAATTACAGAACAATGTTGGACATTATTTCGCCAACAATATGATGTAACGATCGAGTTTGTACTTATTTTATTTATTTTTTACCTATCCTTTGCATTGAATGTGTAATTTGCTGAACATTCCTCTGAATTTTTATGTTATTCACATTTATATAAACTACAAGCTCTATCTCTGTCTTCAAGCATGTAGTTGTTGCAAAATGTTTAAGGGAATTATATTTTAATATAATTTGCTTCAAATTCTGTTTCTGTTCATCTCCCAGACCTCTGTCTTCTTCTACATCTTTTTAACGAAAAATCAAACTCAACATTTCCGAACTAATCTGTTACATGTCATAAGTATCACTGTCAAAGGCAATGTTTCTAATCTGTCTTTAGGATTTTAATTGTTTAATTGAATCTTTGATTTAATGTTTTCTTTTTCTTGCAATGTTTTGTTTTGAATTTTCACAAATTATAATAATTAAGTTATAAATATTCAATCGCTACTGCCTGTCAACATAACCTCACTTTTTGAAATCAAAACAAACTGAAATGGCAAATAAATTCGATGCTGCTGCATATAATTTTCGTAAAAAATGTCCCTTTATAAACAAGGAACTTCTAAACTGGTTCCCTGGCCACATGAACAAGGGCCTAAAACAAATGCAACGTAAATTAAAAAGCGTGGATTGTCTGATCGAAGTTCACGACGCAAGAATACCTTTCACAGGTCGAAATCCAGTATTTACTTCGACACTGATTGGCACAAAACCTCACATACTAGTCCTGAATAAAAAAGATTTGACAATACCGTCCTTAATTCCTCGAATAAAGGACCAATTGTTGGCAGAACAGAAAGTCAGTAACATAGTGTTTACAAACTGTAAAGATCAAAGCTGTCGAGGGCTTAAGTCGCTTAAGCCGCTTATGGTGGGCTTAATCAAAGACTCCAATAGGTATAATAGAAGTGAGGAGCAGGATTATAATGTCATGATAATGGGTGTTCCAAATGTAGGAAAGTCTTCATTAATAAATATGCTTAGGTCGAATAATATAGGTGTTAAACACGCTTTGCCGACTGGAGCTATTGCAGGCATCACAAGAAGTGTTATGACAAAGATTAGAATCAATAATGATCCACTTATTTTTATGTTTGATACACCTGGTGAGTGCTTTTTGTAATTGAAACAATAGAGATATACTATCCTCATTTTATTATTTCTGTCTGTCATTTCTTGGATAAGGGGTAGATAATTGAAACGGCAGCACAAACTTGCAATTTATATGCAGTATGCAATTGTAAATAATAATAAATCTTAATAATGAAATTCTGAAACCATTTTGATGTATACAAACTTACTGAACCATACTTCTTAACAAAATGTGGCTTTTTTCTGCTCTAACAGTGTGTTTGTAAACATTGACTGCCTTGATGGGTTAGTGGTAGTGTATGCTATTGCTGTGCTGAGGTCTCGGATTCGATGCCTGGGTCGGACCCAATGTTGGTGTTTCATAGTACAAGCACTACTTAGTTTTAAGCTAGATGGTGTTGCGTGTCAGATGTCCAAAACATCATTATTATACATTTTGACATGATGATCCGTTGATATTTTTTAATTCGTATATATCAAATATTATCTACATATATGATAATTACAATTTTCAGGTATCCTTGAACCCTCAGTCACGAATGTCGAGATGGGACTAAAGTTGGCCCTCTGTGCATCGTTGCAAGACCACTTGGTGGGTGAAGAAGCCATTGCAGATTACCTACTCTACTGGCTGAACAGTCATGGCAAGTTCCAATACGTGGACTATATGGGTTTGAAAGAGCCTTGCGATGATATTAATAAGGTAAGCTTTGTTTTAATTTTTTAGTAAGTACCTATATTGTTTATAGTAGTATAGGGACAATAAAAAGGCAAACAAGCAGATGGGTCAAAAGTGTGAAAAAATTAATAAGAGAAATTTAATATACATAGCATTTACTAAGCCACAAAGGCTAGAATGCCAAGGGTTAGTCTAGATCGATACGAAAAAGTAATAATATAAAATAGAACTGAATACAGTATAAAACAATACTATATAAATAAAAAAAGCAAAACAGATAAAACAAAATATATATTATTAATTTTGATTCAAAAGAAATGGTTGAGCTCAAGAATCATAAGTGGCTGTGAGTCCCCCCCCCCCCCCTCCCCCAAAAGAAGGGGGCGACAAATTAAGAACTGCCAAACTGGGTACACCGGTGTTCTATGAGACCGCGGTATCACCCTGGTCAAGCCGGCTGCCCATTTGTGCCCAAACAAGACTCTAATAATATCTTAACTTATTTAATCCCTTCTCAGCAATTTACATTATGATTAGACATGGAAATTAATGCTACTTTTAAATAATATTCCTTTGATGAAATGATTGGTTTTAAATCACAGGGATTTTACATGTGATTGTGATTTAGTCATAGACAAAGATAAATGTCATTAAAATTAAAAAAAAAAAAATTACGATTACGAACTTTTTTTAGATATAGACCTTTCGCGAGTCTTGCGCTAGCGTAATAACAATAATTAGCAGTGGTTTTGTAAATCAGTCACAGGTGTGATGATCAGATTTCTAAATCGTATGTTTTGTCAAACTGATTGTGGTTGTTATTCCATCCCTAATTATGACTATTAGAAAGTTGTTCAAAATCTTTTGTTACCTACTACATCAAAATTAAAGCAAATTACCAATATCATGAGTTCACAACAGGCCAAAGTCCTTAAACTTTAGTTAATTATAAATACAAAATAAATTAGACAACAATAGACAAAAAAGAAATTGACATAAATGTATAAATTACAGATACCGTGTGACTTTGTTACCAAATAATAGGTCTTTACCTATGAAATTGCCGTTTTGTATGCAATAAGTGAAAGTACTTATTTTTTCAAACTTTTTTATTTCTGTTATTCGAAGTAATCACCCATGCAATCGACGCATCTTTGCCAATGCATTGGAAGTTTATTATCTTGTAAACATGAGCTGGACGGGAGGCAACAAAATCTTCAAAGGCATTTTGTACTGCCTCTCGGGAATTGAATTTTTTACCCACTAAAAAGTTGTCTTAATTTTGGAAAAAGTAATAGTCGGTAGGTGCAAGGTCTGGTGACTGTGAATCTATAATCTATAGTGAATCTATAATCTGTAATTATCTGAATCGCTGAATCTATAATTTAAAAAAAGCGCTCTTGACGATGACGGTTGATTTGAAATAAACTAACACAAGACCCCACCTGTAGTATTACCTAGCCTTAAATAAGTTTATGCACTTATTCTACATATAAACATTAGTATTCCAAATATAAAATTCTTACGTACGCCATACAATTTTAGAAAGGGTTACAAAAATTTCTCGTATTAATATAAAAATAAAAATTTGTACATCGATAGAAAGATCGGTTGTGATTAAGATAAGTATATTTAATTAATATAATATTAAAAACATTTGCGGCTTGACCACCAACCCGCCTGACCAGCGTGGTATAGTAGGCCAAAACCTCTCTAAGGAGGTTTCCTTTCTTCTCCTATGTTGCCTAGAGCAGTGGATTAGTAAGGGCTGATGATGAGTGAGCTCATCAAAGGCAACAAGTGCAACTCAAGAGACACGAGTGCGTTGCCGGCCTTTGAAGAAATGCCCAACCTAGTTATCCATGAACGGCGGTTCTCACTTACCATCAGGTGACCTGTCTGATCGTTTGTCCGCTATACCATAAAAACCAGTGTATATTTATTACCTTAAATATTGTTTAAAGAGAAAATTTCTTATTTATTGCAGGTACTCATCGCAGGGGCATTGAAATTTAATCGAATACGGAAAGTTCGGGACTATGATAACAGAGTCCGCGACGTACCAGACCTGCTTGAAGTCGCACGGACTATGATCAAAGCATTCAGGACAGGGGAACTTGGGAAAATGTTTCTGGATGTTGAACTGCTGAACGAGAAGTATCAGAGGCAGAGCAGTACTGAGCCTAAAGCCGAGAAAATATTAGCTTAAAGTCGGTAACTTTCTTGTTAAATATCAGTTATTTCTAAACGATGTGTTATCCTAACCGACTGCGTCGAATATTTTGATGAAATTAATATGAGGAAATATTATGATGATGAAATTAATATGAGAACAGGATTGAATATATCAATATAATATATATCAATCATCATAATATTTGAAATAATATATTGAGTGGAAAGAAACAGACCATCGAAATGGGTTCTATTTATTTTATCTTACATTTTTAACCAACCTCAAACAAGGGTAAAATCTATATTCGGTTATATTTTTGATGTTTATTACCTCAGAACTACTTAAGTTATGGATTGTTTTCAAAAAACGTATTTTTCAATACTTCTCGTTTGGTCCCAATTAAATTTTATGAAACGATAACACGAACAAGATTAAGGGTGGTAAGATAACACCATGAATAATTATGATAAATATGTATATTTAAGTATTATTGAAGTCGGGGATACTAATACTGATATTTTTTCTAGTGTATTTTTAATATACATACGTACGTATCAGAAGTCAAGTCATTTTGTCTGCGTTCTTTTTACACGCCGTATATTAAGTTTTATATCAGCGGAAAAGATATTGCTTCAAATAACATTATGACTATTACAAAATTATAAGTGACGACATGGCTAACTAATAAATCCATATCCTTCTCAGGACTTCATTTGTATGTGTGCTGTATCTACGAATGTGTGTATTTTGTATAGTTAGTTATATTGTTCTAAAGTATAAAAGTGTACTCATTAATTTATTTGTAAGATTGTACAGCCTAAGTTTGTAATCTTTTAGTAATGTATTATAATGTTGAACATTCATAAAACTTTTATTTCTATCTACCTCTAAATTGATTTAATTTTAGTAATTCATAATTTAAGACAACCAATTTAGCGTACCGCGTCCCGTATTTCTTCCAATCATTGGCAGAAATATGGGATAATAGGGTAGATGACTGTCAAGTCAAATCGGTATCTTTTTTAAACGTCACAACAGTAGACTTTGTATGAATTACTATTTCGTGACGTCATACCTTGCTATTGTCAAATCATTTATATTTAATGTTGATATCAAGATGTCAAATCAATTACATTACAGTTAGAACCGAGGCCAATTCAGGCTCTACTTTAAGATGTTACATTTAATTATACAGGCAAATTAATTTATTTGTAACCTAGGAATTTACACTATTGGCATTCCACCACTGTGCGCTTTTCAAGAAACTTTTGGCTTTCATGGGCGGAGATAGTAACTCACCAACAGGTGACCCGCCTCTCTGTATCATATAAAAAGACCCACCGTGCTTACTGTGCAAGCGTATTAGACATACATGGTAATTTATGTTACTTTTAAATCATATTATTTTGATGAAATTAGATTGAATGAATGATTGGTTTTACTTAGTGATTTCACATGTGACTGTGGTTTCGTCATAGACAAAGATAAATGGCATTAAAGTCAATCAAAATTATTTTTATCAAAGATTACGACCTTTTTTGTTTTTAGATTTAGACCTTTCGTGACTCTTGCGCTACCGTAATAATAATAATTAAGTAACAGTGGTTTTGTATATCAGTCACGGGTTTGGTGACATGATTTATGAATCATATGATTTATAACATATTATTCTGTTTTCATTCCATCCCTAAAGCGTATGATATAGCCACTTACTGCCCCCACCATCGCCGATGCTCCCGGGCTTAATCAGGTGACCTGTCTGCTCGTTTGCCTCTATACTTTAAAAAGAAAACACATGTATCACAACGATTTGATTTGATATTGTATGAACATTAAAAAATGAGAGCCCTAACACGAGGACCTTGGAAAATAGCTCGTCTCTATCCAATCGTTGCAAATGTTCGAATCTTTGCACGATCTTCAGCGGTTCTTCCTCCGAGCCTTTTCCCCAAACTAGGTTGGCGTCGGCTTCTGAGTCTACTACGATACGGCTGAACTTCGATGATTTACGCGGATCGACTGCCATCAGACCTTCACAACCCAAGTACTAGGCAATATCGAAGTTCTGTAGAAAGACTGTTCTCGGACTTTTTTAGGGCTTGTACTACCGGTTACGATTGCCACAAATGTACGTATGGCAATCGGAACCCACGGTTTAACGTGCTCTCCAAGGCTCCAATCTTTAGCGTTCCAAATGCAAATAAATACCTATCTATACGACAGTGTTACGAGTGAAATTCATAAAATTTCAACCCATACTTCTCACATCTTTGTTTTTGAGCAGTTGGGTACTAAAGACAGTTACTAAGATTATATAATACTCTTTTCATTTTACCTCTGACCTCTATGAGTGAGAAACAAAGTCAATGATATAAAAAAAAAACAGTCACAAGTGTCAAATTGGCACAGATTACTAAAAAAATAATGAAATAAAATTATACTCGCATTATTGTAACAAAAGTATTTAAAAAATCTAAAATCTTCAAAACGTACATTATAAAAATATAACACAGTGATCTGTGCATGACTATGTTTAGTTTGTGTTAAGTTAGTGCAGTGGTCGTCAAACTGGGGCCTGCGGTCTAACAAGTAGGAAGTACGTGCGGCATACGGCCATGCCCTCCTCATTCTTTGTGTAGATAGTAGCTTATACTTCCTCCTATAATGTTTAATTTCTTATGCTAACTTAAAATTATAAGATCTCCAACGCTGAAACTTCGAAGTAGGCGTCTGGAGTTTGTCTAAATCTTTTACATTTCATGTTTAACTGAACTAATTTTTGTTATTAAAGAACCTTTAATGAGTATCACAGCTTAGTTGTTAAAATTTAGATGATTATCGGCATGACAATGCGCACGCTGATATTATAGTTATTAAGGCCAAAGGTTCAAAGTTTGACAACCACTGTGCTAGGGTGAGCAGGCCTCAATTGCAGCCAAATGGATCCAATGCAGTGCATACTAACATTCGTGAGTTTTATACAAGAATATCGTTGGCTGATTGACGCAGCCAATGCTTGCTATCCCATAGCTACGATGTCAAAACTTCATACAGCATAAAGAACCCTAACCGCAGTACTCATGTATATCATTTGTGAATATCCTATGATGAATATAGCGAAGTTGAAATGTAACCCAATTCCGTTGGCTCTGAGGGTGAGCGACTTCCCCATCACATGGAGCCATTTTAGGGGTCGAGCGTTTATACGGAGCGCGTTCTCTTTACCAGTTCTATCTAGGAGGTCCGAACCTCTAGTCACGGGTAACACCACACATGCTAAAACCCTCAGTGTAGTTAGTTCACCCTGGAGTGTCGAAAGTTGGAACTTACTCTCAAAAGAAAAATTTGAGGGCGAGAAATTCTCCTTCTCCTCGCTCGCCTCGTCTACTCTCTCGGAGACAGTCCTCCCAAAGTCCACGACAACTATGGGTATCCCTAGCCAAAGCAGTACAGTAGTAATTGGAGTGTCGAAGAGGAACAAACCAAAAACGCCAATGAGGATCACACAACAGACCATAAGCTCTTGGTCTTCAGAGACATTTATTTGTAATGAACCAGCCAGCAGTAAGCCAGGAAGTGTGAAGGTAAAATATCCGTGGAGCCCAGCAAGCTCTCTCAGCGACTCAGACTTTTATCCGAGTAGTACAATGACTTTAGCGTCTCGTAAAGAAAGTAAGTCGACTATGGTGTCGGAGCAGCCTAGTGCCCTGCATGGTCCTTCGCACTCTACACATGGTTCAACGGCGCCAAATGCTGTCAATGTTGAACATGAACTACAGGACGATCCTATGATTGATATCGTTTTCGACGGACCGGTTGTCGCCTTTTGTGACTTTGTGATTGACAGTACAGTATAAAAAAATAGTAAAAATGATTAAAAATTTATTCGCAACAATTTTTTTTTCTACAATTTATCCTGCTCCATGTATTTAATTTTGCTCGTGTATTTGTCTAAATTTACATTTAGGAAAAAAAAAATTTACCGTGTCCCGTCATTCATGTCTTTTAAAAGATAAAAATAATTTAAATTTAGGGTTGCACACAAAAACTCTTGCAAGAAACTTTTTTACTTAACCAAAATAATAGTAATAACTAAAACGCAAGATATCTCACACACAGCCGTCTGATCCCAAAATTGGTAGTTTTTTTTATATGTGGAAACCCCTCGGACCACAGGGGTTACTATTTATTCGAGGTCGACGACAATGTCTCCTCCCGGTGACTGGGCACTATAGCGGAGGGATAAACCTGTCCCGTCCACCCGCGGCCACACTCAGGGCAGCATGAGAAGGCTAGGCCTTGTCTATTTCTAAATACATAGGTACCCATGTATTATAGTTTTTCCTGGATGGCTGACCTAAAATCGAACTCATGACCAGAGAGAAAATAGATTTTCTAGACTACAGACCAACAGAAAATCTCTCAAAACTTTTTTAATTCGACTGGTAGGGACTTCAGAGATTAGGGTTTTAAAAAACAAACTATTATATTAATATTGTATAAATATAATATATATTTTATTGTACAGATACATTCTTAGTTATGTTGTCATACTACAATTTAAGCAGGTGGCTTTTGGGCAAGTCCGATGATGGCCTTGTAATATTTAGGTTCGCTCAGCGCCTCAACTAGGAAAGATCCAAGATCCCACTTAGAGATGGTGCGACCTGGAGACGTCTTGGGGTTGATTTCTACCATGTATTCGGCACTCGGTTCACCTGAAACAAATTCAAGAGGTTATTATATAAAGAAGGAAAAATAGGACTGCTATTTAGGCTCTCTTTGAACTCGCTCACTATTAATTGTGAACTGTAGTAAAAAAGTGGGGCATTTAATACGTTTCATGCCTACCGTCTCAGAGATAACGGCGTGAGTGTATGGTATGTATGGTGTAAAGTTTTATAGTATTTATATTTATCATAAATTGACTACCTAACAAAAAATAATATTGCAATGTACTCGATATAACTCGATCGAAACCGCGAGAAAGGGCGCTCGTTACCTATTCATTTTTGAAGTGAAAAATTCTTTAGGCGCGTTGGGCATTTTTGAACAACAAACAAAAGAATGTATTTTATTGTTTTCAATTGAACTCGCGACACTGTTACCATTACCGACACCTCTGTATATAGGTTTTCACTTCTGTCGGCACTCGCGGAGTGCTACTGTTTTTATTATGATATAGCGAGCAAAAAAGCAGACGATCACCTGATGGTAAGTAACTACCGCCAACCATGGCTACATGCAACTAAAAGTCGCAAGTGCGTTGCTGCTTTGAGCCCCTCCAGAATAAGAAGTGGGGGGTTGCTTCTCCGATAACCTAACTCACTTGTCGAAATGCAACGATAGAATAGCTAACAACGGTTTTCTGTGAGGCCGTGGTATTGCTCCGGTATAAGCATTGAGCCGACCCATTTGTGCTAAGGCTCTCCCACGGTCCACTCCAACAGTCATACACTATTACTGTTTATACAAATAACTATACAATAAATTTATAAATAAATAAAAAAAAAAAAAAAAAAACTGCCTCAATGTATAATTTATTTATGTGTGGTAACCCCAACCCTAGGAAGACGTCCCCGAGAACCCCTGCAGACCATGGCCGTCTCATAAGTATTAACATTCGATTTGTATTGTAACCGATTGATTTTGAAACATACAATCGTTCATATTTAGTGATTTCTACTAAACGCCACAATTGAACAATATGACAATTGATACGCCCATATTGTGAAATCGCACAATAACTGATCACTGGACCTCTGATTACTTTAAACATGAAACAGTGTAAATCTTTTTATCTGCATAGGCCGGCATAATCCTTTGTTTGTGTTGGGGTGTCATGACACCCGTGCCTCGACACACTTTCATTGTATAATATCTTAATTTATATAATTCTTCTGTACGTGTGTTTGAAACCTAACTCCTCCTAAACGGTTGGACCGATTCGAATGAAATTTTGTGTGTATATTTCAATGGATAGTTTAAAAACACAATTGGACACGGTAGGCGGCGCTGCTGTCGGTATGTCACCAAATTTGTCATCTAAGCGGTAAGAAAATCGCCGGGTCAGCTAGTAAATAATAAAAACCTTATTCAAAATAGAGCCCTAAATATCGTATCGATAATGTTCAAGCTAAATGCAATATGAAATTGTCACCCGTAAAACCAGAGGAGCGGATGATAGCGAAGAAAATGCAACGGTAGGTTAGGTTAGAATTGTGCCACAACCGAACTGCTTGAACCAATTCCACTAGCTTAAAGGGCGATTGTCGAGGAAAAAGTTACCAGTTGTCCCCTCTGGCACGAATCGGAAGTGAACAGTTGGGAAAATTTGTCACCCAGGACAACTGGGAAGAAATTCCCAGTTGTCAACCCGGAGGACAGTGCTAGAGGGGACTAATGGGAATATTTCGAATTCATTTTTGACTGCACGGATGGCGTATTGGTTTAAGCGGTCGCCACACTGAGTGTTGTGGTTTCGATCCCCACATGGGACGACACTTTGTGTTCTAAGTTTGGATGTTCTTTGTGTCCGTTTCATGTATGTTTGTAAAGTCCGCCGCGACACAGGATATATTTCTAATGCAGGAGTTGTCTTTTATAAATAAAAATAAATAAACAAAATGCCAAAACATGGCACTCCCACGAATTTTATTGTGCGGTATTAAGCTAATAAGATTAAATTAAGATAACTTTATCTGCACCCAAGTAGTTACTGTACTAAATACATGTAATAACCGGGATTTACTGGTATCTTAAAGAAATTACCGTGACTTTTAATGTGACAAAATGTGGTCAAAATATAACAAACAACAGGCTTATTAAATTGACGTAATGACTTATATAAAAAAATTAGCTGATCCGGCAAACGTTGCTTTGCCTAAAAAAAAATTAGGGATGGGTCACCCTTACCATTTAGGGGTATGAAAAATAGATGTTGGCCGATTCTCAGACCTACCCGATGTGCACACAAAATTTCATGAGAATCGGTCAAGCCGTTTCGGAGGAGTACGGGAACGAACATTGTGACACGAGAATTTTATATATAAGATGATTGTTATCAACATCTTGTAGTTTGGTAGGACTTATACTTTGTTTTGTGTCTGGGTATGACCGACTGTTTTATCACTCGTCCGATCACACCAACAACCTCTAATAGTCCACTGCTGGACATGTTCCCGGATCCCTCCTATTACAGGCGCACAGTGGCGCACCGTGTGGTTATAGTCGTTCCGATTCCGACACACCACCCCGTCGTTAGCCCCGGTGGGGTGACGGTCCGAGGGGGTTTCCACAACATCATCAAGTTTGCCTTCTCTTTGCAGTGATGTGGTCCTGGTTGCTGCCTGAGTCGGCTCTTACGATACCTACGGGATAAAACCACTGTACAAAGCAGTCGGACCAGTCTTCCTTAGGGACCTCTTCAATGGCTTCATGGAACGCATTCACCGCCAATTCTGTAGGCCGGATGTATCATCAGTTCCACATTTGAAGCCTTCAAATAGGCTTCTGTTACCTTAGCGGAATGTGAGGATGCGTTATCGTGGTGAAGGAGGACATTACTTCGAGGACGCTTATGGCGAAATTTTTCTAAGACTTTGGGCAAGCAAGTGTTGACGTACCAATCTGCAGTCACTCTCCTTTGATCTTCAATGTAATGTCCTGATTTATCGAAAAAAGAAGCAACCATTTTTTTACCAATGCTTTGACTTTTCTTAACTTTCGATGGCAAAAAAAGAATCTTCAAAAGGAAAGACTCACTCATCCGACTGTCATTTTTTTTGGGTTCAAAGCAGTACACCTAGGTTTCGTCACCTGTTATGGTATTATAGACAGCCGAAGACAGTCCTCGGACCCGTATGGACCCGTAGTCGTTACTGGTCCTCCGTTAAGTCATGCGGTATCCATCCAGTGCAAAGCTTCCGAACCTTCAGGTGCACATGTAAATGTTTAGCACTTGGCTCATTCAGATGCCTAACAAAGCACGAATTTGCTTTTTTGTCAGTTCCAATAAGTTCTTGTCCGGTGTCAATATTAGAGTATGTAACCGCAGTCGCCGGCCGACCTTCACGTACCACATCATGGAGATGATCACGTCTACGACTAAATTCTCCAAACCACGAATACACTGAGCTGCGTCATGGTGCTTCATCACCAAATGCCAATTGAAGTCTCTGGCAACTCTCTTGTTGACTTAAGCCACAACGAAAATCATAAAAAATCATTGAACGCATTTTCGTTCAATGATTTTTTATGATTTTCGTTGTGGTTTCACGAGTTAAATTCATTTTGATAGCGACACACAATTTCCAAAAGGACGTCACAATGAAAAAACAAATGACAGTCTCGCAAAATTCCATTTTCGAAAGTCCTTATTCTTCTTTTAATTCTTTGATTGTAAGTGGCCAAATCCAGAGACTCAGTAAGCCCCACGTATAAATTAAGAGGTTTCTGATTGTTTTGTATTGGATAGAGTATTTTATAAGTAATATTTGTAACATCAAGCTACGATCCTTACGAACGGAGCAGTGACCATACACGCAAGTGAAGCTGCAGGGAGCAGCTGGTGTTGTATAATTCATATAAAATTTTATTACACACTGAACACACCAGCCGCCGCCGGTACAGTCGAAATAGGCTAACGTATGAGCACGTTAATAAGATTATTCAGTAGTTATTGTGTGTAAATTTATTTTGTTTTTCCATTGGTATTTGATTTTGCCTCGTAAACAAGTACGACAAAATTAAAAATAATTTGTCACGGAAACAATTTAAACAGAAAAGCTGAGCTTGAGCGATGTATATTTCATGTATCACTAACAGTAAATATGTTGAGATAAATAAATGCTGTTTTTATCTTATCTTATAAACCTATCTAGTAGCTACGTTTGTATGAGCTAAAATAATCTGTGCTTACAAGGAAACAAAATATTTACCAAGTAAGCAGTGATTCATCCAGAAACAAAAAGGATTTAATCATATCCTTCATGGTTAGTTTAAGGACATATGTTTCACGTTACACAAATCTTTAACTACTCTCACTATGTAGCAATAAGGTGCAGTTTTGTTCACACTTGCTATATTAATTTAAAATAGTGCGAAAAGGTCAAAGAACTTTTCTATTCGGCACGTGTAAGAACACTACACTATATTTTTATCGTGTCATGTTCTTACACGTTGAAAAGAAAATTACTGGTTACTGTTACTGCTAAGGTTACTGCCTTGACTCATAATTACTTGTGTTCTGTCACATATCATCAGTTGTGTGTCGAATTAGTACGGAGAGGCTCAGATAGGTCATTGGCCAAGTGCCAATACCGCCTCTGACCTTCAATTTCACTAATAGTTTGGGAATCTGGGAAAACTACTGCTTGTTATCTACGGAATTCAAATTAATGTGGATTTTTTTGCGAACTTATTGAATTAAATTAATTTATTATCCGTGTGGTGACTGATGAAGAATACGGAGTGTCAACACCCCTATTCATCCCGTGGGTGTCCTAAGTGCTGACTAAGGGAGCAAACTACGCAGGACAACAGAAAACTTCTGCAAAGAGAAGGGAAACGTATCAGTTCAACCGGAGTATACCGCGACCACACAGAAAACCGGTGTTAAGTAAGCTTTCGTTGTTTTTTACGGTTAAGTATGTTAAGTTAGTGGGGTTACTCAAGGCCGAAATAACCCTGAATTCTGGCGGGGGCACTTAAAAGCCGTTAACGCTCCGTGACTTGACTTTAAGGTGTCCATGGATGGTAGTCAGCATAAAAAACAACAGTGACACTCCGGGACAGCCGACAGAAATGTAAAACATGAAAATTGCTTTTTTTAAATTATAAAAGCAAAAAAAACCGATTCGAAAAGTTCCGACTTGAATATATGTTGTACTTATATACACAATATTTGTTTAAATTATATATAGTTATATTATCAATGTATTTCAACCCAAACTCAATTCTCCTGTAAACGGGACCAATATACGAGTATATACATACTTATATACAGAGGTGTCAGTAACGGTAACAGTGTCGCGAGTTAAATGGTTTTTTCCCACCTCAAAAAATACATTATTTTATTTGTTGTTCAATAATGCCCACCTTTCCAAACCTCCTTTCTAAGGAGAGGCTTATGTCCAGCAGTGGACTGTTAAAGGCTGTTGGTGAATGCCCAACGTGCCTAAAGAATTTTTTACTTCAAAAACTTGACCATGACTAAGTTTAATAACATTCAATGCACTTACTTGTAATGTGGGGTGGGTACACAGCTATGTAATCCAATCCGCTGTCACGCAGAGCTTGGTACATCCTCTCGTGATCATTATTTATGTCCACGAACCTCGGAGGTACTTTACTGGGCTCGTAGAACAAGAAAGCAGACAGGCAAGCTGACACGACTCGAACGTTCTTCGCTCTCATTGCTTCGATGATGTTCTTTGTGCCTTCAGACATATCCGATGTAGGATCCAAGACGTTGTTCGTGCCGAGACAGATGACCACGCCGTCGACACCTTCAATGGCTTCAGATACGGAGTCAGGTTCCAAAACATTGCCAGTAATGACTTCAACTTTATCCTTTAAGTTCTCGGGGAGCTTTTTGGGGTCCCGGACAAAAGCGCGCACGGTGAGATCTGTTGACAATATGATAACGTGTTATTTGAGACTAAATGCTGAGTACTGGAAGTGCAAGGCGTAATTAAAATAAGTGATGCATGTAATAATCTTATTCCAATTAATGTTATAAATGAGTGTATATGTGTTTGTTAATCAATCACGTTAGAATGCCTGAATGAATCTGGAAGAAATTGCGCACAGAGATAGGTTACAGTCTGGAATAGTATATAGACTATTTTATTAAGGTTTTAATAATAAAACAAAAGCAACTTTAACGCAGGTGAAATCGCTGGTAAAAGCTAATTATTCTTATATGTTTGACCTTATTAACATTGGATTCATACCCATATGTGTAAATAATAAATATGTGTACATTCTTTCGTTGCCTTTCAATGAGTGAGTGAGGTTACCGGAGCCCAAATACCCAGACACAGAACAAAAGAGCATGCTCATCACACAATTATTTGTCCTGGGTGGGTTCCGAACCCTCGACCTTCAGGGTCACTAACCACTTGACCAACCGACCCGTCAATATGTATTCAGATGAACTCAGGAAATGCCCAATCTTCCTATTATTGTATCAAAGTACTCGTAAATGTAGTATACAGCTAAAATCTCTTGGCAAAAATATTCCTAATACATGTGTGTGTAGAAGCAATCGCAGTAGATATCAGGACGCCAATTCACGTAATAAAAGTTCGGTCACAATTCAGTTTCGTTCTACTTTCGATCCCACAACCGTTATAAAGGTATTTTCGTACTAAGTATTAATAAGGCTAGTCGATTCAATCACGATTAACAATACCGATTCAATTTTCGGTCACAATCTATACTAATATTATAAGCTGAAGAGTTTGTTTGTTTGTTTGTTTGAACGCGCTAATCTCAGGAACTACTGGTCCGATTTGAAAAATTCTTTCAGTGTTAGATAGCCCATTTATCGAGGAAGGCTATAGGCTATATATCATCACGCTAAGACCAATAGGAGCGGAGCACCAATGAAGAATGTTTCAAAGACGGAGAAAATTTATTACTATTGAGAGACGCAGACGAAGTTGCGCGGGTCAGCTAGTACGATATAATCACATTACAGTTACATTACATTTAATACTTTACTACGAAAATATCTTTTATGACAGCTGTGAGATCGAAAGTTGATTGGAACTGAATTGAGACCGAACTTTTATTACGAGAATTGGCGTTCTGATATCTACTGCGACTGCTACTGCTACACACATGTATTAGGATTACTGGCCTTCTGGTTGTATAAAGCCCGGGAAGGGTATTTGGATGACCAAATCTTTACATAACAAGGTCTCTAGCATAGATTTATAGTCCTGCCAGATAAGGTAGAGTCAGCAGAAGTAAATAAGTTACGCATAACGTTAGAGCTAGCATTGGTGTTGAGAGTTTTTGACTGAATGGATTTCTTTATGGTATAGCGGAGTATAAGAGCAGACGTGTCACCTGATGGTAAGTGATTACCACCGCCCATTGACACCTTCAACTCAAGAGTCGCAAGTGAGTTGCTGCCCTTTGAGTCTCTCCCCCAAATCAGGGAGACGGGGAGGGGGAAAATCCCTCACAAGTCGGTTAAAAACTAAATAAACCATTTCTTTAAGTAAAAATCAAGATAAATAAACTACGAGTATGTTGTCTAAACGTTACTGGCAGTCTTTTAATTTTATAACCAAATTTCTTTTTGTTTCCAACACTGGTAGGTCAGGTAGTATAGCGTTCTGGATAATATACTCATACATACATGCATATATTTTAAAGAAATCCCTATGCATTAATACTGACGTCAGAAATACGAATACAATGTTTGTGAGTGAGAAAACAAATATTCTCACGGAAAGGGAAGTGGTTTAACTCAAGGGAAGTGGTAAACGAATTCCAAAACTGACCCAGTTTTAGAATTCGTTTACCAATGTTGTACCGACAGTGTTGGTTTTTTTTTTTTGTTAAAAGACAGATATTCAGAATGTATGTGAACTTTGTGTGCTATCCGTGTGGTGACGGATTAAGAATACGGAATGTCACCACCCCTGTTCCTCCCGTGGGTGTCGTAAGAGCCGACTAAGGGAGCAAACTACGCAGGACAACAGCACTGCAAAGAGAAGGATAACTTGCAACCAACCCTATACCAACCCGTCTGGCCAGCGTGGTATAGTAGGCCAAAACCTCATTTCTAAGGAGAGGCTTATGTCAAGCAGAGGACTGTTATAGGCTGTTGATGAGTCGATTCATTGTATGATTGCTAGGGCCAGGGTATCACGAAACAAGAGGTCTCCAAACAAAAAATATTCGTTTAATTTTTTTAAACAAAAACCGACTGCCTGAAATAGGTACTTTATAAACCTGTAATTTTAATTTTTATAATATTCACGTATCCAGTGACACTCATAAACAAGACGAGTTTAACAACGCCTCCTAAGTCAAAATCCATCAAGCTGTGTAGACTACAGAGCGTGTCAAACAAATATACACATAATACATACATATATAACATATACTCAAAAACATATCCCTCTTTCTGAGCAGTTTGGTAAATAGTCAGGTAGAAGCTATTAAGTAAAACAATAAAGCAATTTAAATTACAGGTTTTAAGTTAATTTAAGTTACAAGGTTATATTTATTCCTACTTCAATACGAAAACAATCTTATTTGCACAATGTATGTTTATGTATAAAAACGTATGGCGTTAAGGCATTGTAGGAGAGAGGATGATACCTCTTATACTGCCACGTCCAGGGTAAATAACGATCTGTGATATTGGTGCTAATTCTGATGTTCGAAAACTCTCTAAACTAAACTAAAAATCACTAAAAAAAATTGTCCTGTCAAATATTACGTTTTCAGAATAGGAAACGTTTTTTGACAGAACTAAACAAATTTTTGCCTTGTCTGAGATGTGTAATGCTATCATTATTACCTAACATCATGGATCGATAAATATTGATTATTGATAATTTTCACACCTTTGCCGTTAATTTATTTTTCTTACATTATTGGTCAATTTTTAGGAAAAAAACAATTGAAATACTTAAGAAAACAATACTTTTCTACATAAACATATTCTCGTATAAATTAAATGTTCTTTTGACGTATGTCGAGAGAAAATAGTTGTTATTTAAATCTCACCTATTTGCATACAATAGGCTAATGGACGTACTAATTGTTGCGTAAATACATGTCTCTTTATACCATCAAGATGGCAAACTAGCCTACAGGTCTTTTGGTCAAAAAACGTCCCGTGGTATACGTATTATAATAATATACAAAATCAAGTACCTACCTTTAAGTGACACTCGAGTAAAAAAATAAATTCCGAATCTATATTAGGTATAACTATTTCTCGGTTTAACGAAACGTATATAAATGCAAACATTTTATAACAACGTATTAGAATTTCAGATTAGGTCAGAGGGCTTGGTCGGAGTCCAAAATCTAATTTAAAATTCGACAACCGGCATCAGTGCGGTAACAATACGGAGTGTCACCACCCCTTTTCACCCGTGGGTGACGTAAGAGCCGACTCAGGGAGCAAACTACGCAAGACAACAGCACTGCAGAGAGAAGGAAAACTTGACACAAACCGTCTACCAACCCGTCTGGCCAGCGTGAGACTGATTGAGCGTGAGGCCAGACTATTAAAGGCTGTTGATAAACCAGCATCAGCCAGTTCGAATTGGTTTGACTGATTTGACTGGAACTATTGCTTTTACTCCATCCTTAGAAGCAAAATCCATTTCCTTCATACATTCATGCCTTCATACCTTCCCAGCCTTCGTATTTTCCAATGCAATTCCTATTGATGCCCGATTGACGTCAATAGACTTTCTGACTACAAGTAGGATTGATATTATTGTCGGCAAAATGTAGGCGTTTAATTCTGCCGCTTCTGTTTACCCCTCCAGGGATATATGCTTGAGTGTATTACGATGATTATTTTATCGTATAGGGACAAACAAGCAGACGGTGACCCGTCTGCTTGTGACCCTCATGGTAAATGACTACCGTCGGCCATGGACTTGAGCAACTCAGAGTCACAAAAGCGTTGGTGCCCTTTCAGTGCTGCCCTACGAATTAGTTAGGGGGGGGGTTGGGATCTGGTTATCTCACTTACTAGAAGAAACCGGTTTTCTGTAAGGCCGTGGCATCACTCCGGTCAAGTCGGCTCAAATATGGCGAGGTCTATATGGCTTCCACCAATAGAAGAATTCAAGAGGAAGGTTTATGTATAATACATGAATATTATAGAAGCGAAAATCCGATTATCTCAAAGATTTGTCTTTAAAAAATAGTTTTGCGCGCTTACATTGCAAACGCTGCTAATCCTTACGCGATATACCAAAATAAAAGTACTACGGAATTGTATATCTTAAAAAGATGTAAAAAAACGTCCTCGATGATATGTATATCTCCTAGGATAACAATTTTCATCTTTTGAATATTACAAAAAAATAATGGGTTATTTACGAAGCTATTTTAAACAATACATTATTATTCCTTATCGAACTAAATATGTTAGAGGTTTAAAATGTGAGGGGCAAAGCCGGCCGGCCGCCGCCGCTTCAGGCCGTACGTCCGTCGCGGGTGGCAGCAGCCGGCAGGATCGGAGCGGGCGTATAAATATTCAATAACATAAAGATGTCCCTTAGTATGGTCCTATTATAATAATAGTATAATGATTTCTTCACACTGACACCACATTTGTTGTATCAGTAGTATCTATATTGCACCTGTGCAAAGCCTTGGCGGATTGCTAGTATATATATATAATATATAACTAGAATCAGAACTTTATTATACTAAGGAAAGCAAAAAATACTTTAAAACGTATAGAACGATATGCAAATATGGCAGATGTCAATGTAAAAAGATACGCCCATCATAAATAGTTGTTATCAAAGTCATAAAGATTACAATGATGACCGGATTTGAAGGGTTACAACAGCAATAAGCGGGTATCGAACCCTGATTGGTTTTGATTAATAGCGGAACTTGCACCATG